TGCCTCTCTGTAACTCTACCTTTCAAATAAATAAATAAATCTTAAAATAATAATAGTTTTAGAGTTCTTGTGAATTCAGAGAGAAAACTTAAAGGGACTCTCACAAACATGCTAGTTGAGATGAGACATTTTGAAGATGCTGAATGTATGGAAATGAAGTAAAAGCTAGGCAGAAAGTAGCAGGATAGGGGAAACCCATGGCTGTGAGGAGTTTCAACAGGAACAGGAAGCAGCATGTGGGCTCTAATCAAACAAGAATCGGCTTCTCCAAAAAGTCTAGCAACCTGAAGAGTTAATGTTAGAAATATAACAAGTGGCCGGCGCCGCGGCTCACTAGGCTAATCCTCCACCTAGTGGCGCCGGCACACCTGGTTCTAGTCCCAGTCGGGGTGCCGGATTCTGTCCCGGTTGCCCCTCTTCCAGGCCAGCTCTCTGCTATGGCCCGGGAGTGCAGTGGAGGATGGTCCAAGTGCTTGGGCCCTGCACCCCATGGGAGACCAGGAAAAGCACCTGGCTCCTGGCTCCTGCCATCGGATCGGCGCGGTGCGCCGGCCGCAGCGTGCCGGCCGTGGCGGCCATTGGAGGGTGAACCAACGGCAAAGGAAGACCTTTCTCTCTGTCTCTCTCTAACTGTCCACTCTGCCTGTCAAAAAATAAATGAATAATAATAAAAAAAGAAATATAACAAGTGACCCGAAGGGGAACAAAGCAAAGAATTTGAGTTGGATTTGTGCCACTAAAATTGAAAACTTATTTGTAGCTGGTGTGTATCCTGAAGACATCATATGATGAACAATATGTTTCTAGATGAATTTATGTGGTAGGAGAAGGAAGGCCAGATTCCATGAGTGCGATATTTGTAGCAAAAACGAGAATCCTCCTTGATATGGAGGATGTCAGCATAAACATCAAGCCAGGACATATGCCTCTGCTGTATAATGCAGTGATTGCCAAGAATAAAACTATATTGTGTATCTGTTAAAAAAAAAACTATAATAAATATGACTGCAGAATGTAATTTTGTGTCTCTGGCATAACAGAGGATATGAAGGATCATGCCACATTTCAGATCATTATAAATACAATTATCTTGACTTTTAATAGAAGGAAATTACAATTATTTGTGCTTCCCATTTTTAAAGTTCTGTAACTTTAGTGGTGACTTCATTTTATCTCATAGTTGATATCAGAATCCTGATTCCCAGGGCCTTCAAAAAATACTTGGAAACTTTAAGTTTTAAAATTTAACTCAGGGGCCAGCGCTGTGGCTCAGTGGGTTAAGGCCCTGGCCTGAAGCACCAGCATCCCTTATGGGCACCAGTTCGAGTCCTGGCCACTCCTCTTCTGATCCAGCTCTCTGCTGTGGCCTGGGATAGCAGTAGAAGATGGCCCAAGTCCTTGGGCCCCTGCGCCCACGTGGGAGACCTGAAGGAATCTCCTGGCTCCTGGCTTTGGATTGGTGCAGCTCCAGCTGTTGCAGCCAACTGAGGAGTGAACCCAATGAAAGGAAGACCTCTCTCTCTGTCTCTACCTCTTTCTGTAACTCTTTCAAATAATTTTTTTTAATTGTTTAAAAAATTTAACTCATTTATTTAAATTATTTATTTACATGAGAGGTTGAGCACTCCCATCCATTAGTTCACTCCTCATATACCCTCAATGACATTTCAAGGGCTGGGACCAGGAGCCAGGAACCCAGTCCAGGTCTCCCACATGGGTGGTAGGAATCCACCTTCTTGAGCCATCATTGCTGCTACCCAGGGTCTACATTAGCAGGAAGCCAAACCCAGGAGCTACAGCCAGGAATCAAACCCAGACACTCTGATGTGGGGAGCAACTGGGAGCAACCCGGACTGGACTGAGTTACTGGAATTAAGACTTATTCTATGCATCTGCTCTCCCACAATATGGCGCTGGGAGAGGAGGCAACAGCTTCTACCCAGCTGCCTCTCACCAACTTGACAAGCTGCAGGACCTGCTCCTGATTGGAGGAGAGCAGCGTGCTCGGCGTGTGGGCAGCCGAGTTAGGATTGGCGGAGGAGGACTATAAAGGAGGAGAGAGACGGCATGCACCAGGAACATCTAAGAGGAACATCTAAGAGGAACACCTGTGCAGCCCACGAGAGAGCCGGCCGGCGGTGTGCTGCTCCCCTGCGGAAGTGGGGAATGTGGCCAGGGGGAACTGCCCTTCCACAGAGGTGGAAGGGATAGTAGCCAACCCGGGAAGAACCAGCAGCAAACCCGGGGAGGGCCAAGCAGACGAAAGAACAGCGCAGGGTCCTGTGTCGTTCCTCCAGGAAGAGGGGGAGCGACACTCTGATATGGGACAAGGGCATCTTAATCACTCAACTAAAGGCTTGCTTCTCAAATAGAATTGAGAGTCCAGAAATAAACTCCAACATCCAGGTCCTTTCAGTTTAACAGTAGGTCACATTAGTACAATGGGCAGAGAATATTCATCAAATGGTGATGGGATATGGAATTTTCAGATATAAGAAACTTTATTTTGCTTCACCAAATACACAGAAAGTAATGTAGATTGTAGGTATAGAAATAGCACTGAAAATTGCAAAAACTCTTAGAAGAAAATATGAGAGTAAACCTTTTTGACTAGGCAGCAATTTTAAAATATAGCATGAAAATCACAAGTGATAAAAGAGAAGTTTGATTAGTTGCACATCATCAAAATTAAAAACTTTTGTTCCAGGGCCTGTGCTGTGGCCTAGTAGGCTAAGCTTCTGCCTGCAGCACTGGCATCCCATATGGGCACTGGTTCAAGTCCCAGCTGCTCCTGTTCCGATCTAGCTCTCTGCCATGGCCTGGTAAAGCAGTAGAAAAGGCCCCAAGTGGTTGAGTCCCCACACCCATGTGGGAGACCAGAAGCTCCTGGTTCCTGGCTTCAGATCAGCTCAGTTCCAACCACTGCAACCATTTGGGGAGTGAACCAGAGGATGGAAGACCTTTCTCTCCATTTCTTCCTCTGTCTCTAACTCTACCTCTCAAAGAAATAAAATCTTTTACAACAACAACAACAACAACAAAAACCTCTTGTGCCTCAGGGGATACTATCAAGAAAGTGAAAAGGGTCTGGTGTTATGGCACAGCAGGTTACATTGCCACTGGGTGATACCCACATCCCATATCAGAGTGCTAGTTTGAGTTCCAGCTGCTCTGCTTCTGATCCAGCTTCTGCTGATGAGCCTGGGAAACAGCAAATGGGTGTTGCAGACCCAAATGGGTGCTGTAGATCGAACCAGGGGACAGATGAGCAGTTTTTATTATTACTCTGTTAATTTTTTAAAAAACTTCTACCTTGTAAGCAAATTTTAACACTATCCAGAACAAAGTATTAACATTTATGAGAGAAAAATATTCTTTATCGCACCTTCAGAAATTACTACTTCAAATCAACAGCTCCTTATCTGAAACCTTTTTGGCTAGACACTTTTAGGAATTCAGAACCTGACATCCCATTTGAGCACTGGTTCGAGTCCTGGCTACTCCACTTCTTATCCAGTTTCCTACTAATGTGCCTAAATGCTTGGGCCCCTGCCACCCACAGGGGAGACCTAGATGGAATTTCAGGCTCCTTGTTCGCTCCTGACCCAATCCAGGCCATTGGCAGTCTTTGGGGGAATAAACCAGTAGATGGAAGATTCATGTCTCTCTCTCTCTAATTCTGCCTTTCAAATAAATAAACCTTTAAAATACATACAATCCCCTAACCCTACAGCTGGATCAATCTCCCCACAAGTGCTAAGATTAAAAAAAGAAAAATCAGAACTTTTCTTAGTAAGGTGTATCTGCTGTATAGTATGCAATATCTCCAGCAAGCTGCACTGTGATTAAACACATCAATACTTCTGCAGAAAACTCATGAATATTCACACCAGGTGCGCATTCAGCTTCACCCAGCCTTGGTGCTGTTCAGGTCAGACAAGTACCAAAGGGGTTAGGAAAGACAGAGGGGTTGGGGCCTATAAGGCTAATTTGAAATCAAGTTCTCTAGAGAGTATTTGCTACCTAGTTCAAAGCCAAAGAAAACTTTTGGTTTTCCCCTCCCACAGATTAAAAAAAAAGAAAGAAACAGTGTATTTCATGTTAAGAATGAAACTTAGTATACCTTACCGCAGAAGGCAATCACAAAATGTATCGACCCGGGAAACGAAATTAACCAAGTGACCGTCCTCTGCACTCGTGAAAACCCCGTTTCTCGGCACGACTGTAAGAGACATCACATCACCCGAGAAGCCAGGTTTGATGTCCGGGGCAGAGTGAAACCAGAGGAAAGGCGGAAGGTGGGAGACACGCGAGGCACGCGGACAAGTCAGAAACCCACACCCTGGGCTGTAAAGCCGATCTGTACTTGGAGCAATTAGACCTTGCGAATTTGTTACTTTTTAAAAAAAATTTTAACAAAAATGTAAATTAAACATCCTCTTTTTTTGGTGACTCCCATCAGCGCCAGCCGGCCCCGTGCGCGACGCGGGGTGTTCCGCGGCCCCGGCGGCAGCCGCCCCGCCGGAGAGCGGGAGTCCGGCGGGCAGAGGCCATCTTGGGCCTCGGGGAGGACGGGACGAAGCCCAGCCGGGCTCTGGGGGCCGCTGTGCCAGGACCCGCGGACAAGGCGACTCCTCGAGAAGGCGCGGGCGAGCGCTCCCGCGGGGCGGACGCAAGAGGCGGCGCGGCCGGGGGAGCCAGCGCGCGGCGTCCGGCCGAAGCTGAGGGACGCTGGTTCGGACGAGGCAGCCGGCCGCGCCGCCGCCATCCCAGCGGGCTGGGCACCAGCGCGCCGCGCCCCGCGCCCGCACACACCGCGCCTCGCGAACCGCAGAACCCCGCAGCCGGCGGCTCCGTCCCGACGCAGGGATCGGCCCCCAGCCTCAATCACGGGGTGGGACCCTCGAGGCTCCTGTCCAACCCCGGTCCCCGGCGAGCGCGGGGCGGGACCCTCGCGGTCTCCTGTCCAATCCTATTCCTCAGAGAGCGCGGGGCGGGAATTTCGCGCCTTCTGTCCAATCCGGCTTCTCGGCGAGCTCGGGGCGGGACTCTCGCGGCGTCCGTGCTACTCCGCCCCGCAGCGGCCCGAAGGGAGTCGGCCGCGGCGGCTGTCCGAAGCGGTGAGGACCGACGGGCCCGCGGGGGCAGCGCTCCCGCCGCTGACCGTGCAGCTCGGGGGCCGGGGCGAAGTCAAGTCGCCAAGGGCAGAGTTAAGTCGTGTTGGGCCGCAGGGGTGCCCGGGGCTGGCGGGGCTGCGCTGTCCTGGCGCGGGCATCTCGCCTGCGGGGTCTGAGCTGCCGTGAGGCTGGGCCGCCGGGCCGGGCTGGTTGCGGTGGTCTCGTTGGGGTTTGCTCCCGTGGGGGCCTCTCGAGTGTGCAGCGCCGCCGCTGGGCGGGCGCGGAGGAGCCCTGGTTCTCGGCTGCGCCGCAGGTGCCCGGGCGCCCCGCGGACCAGTCCCGGGGGAGGTGCGGTCGCCTGGAAGCCGGGCGACCCGGTGGTCGTTCACCTCCGTTCTCCCGCAGCCTGGGCCTTGGCCTGTGCCGCCAGCGACTGACAGCAGTCCGAGTGCTGGGGCCTCCGAGCTGCTGGGCTTTCTGCCTTCCACCATCTTTCACCAGCCTTTGTTACTTCTTTTTTCTTCCTCCCCACAGTCGCCAGGCTGATTCAGCTCCCTGTGAGATTCCGCAGAGCAGAGCTGTTCCTGCAGGCTCCTGGCGGTCCTGAACAGCCCATCTCAGTGGGCCGGTATGTGACAGCCTCTCCCCGTGTTTACTGCTCCCGGTTGACTCCCACCTCTTACTGCCGCAGGACCCCACGCTGAGTCCAGCGCCATCACCTTCTGAAGTCTTTTGCAATTGTATTACTTAAACTTTGTGGTTGGGACTTCATGACAACTCGTCCAGAATGATTCTGGAAAATTCGTCATCTTCAGATGTGCCTGCTGGGGGCTTAGGCACTGTAGTGGGTTTGAAATTCCTCCTCTTGTTCCCAGTTTCCTACCGTCTGCTAAGTGGCAGGGAGTTAAATAGAACTTATTATCTGGGCGTGTGTGTGTGTGTGTGTTTTCCTGTCGCTGCATAGAAATCAGCCACGAAGTTAACATCAACAGTATTTATTATCTCCCTGCTTCTGTAGGTCTGCCGGCTGGGTGAGGTGAGCTGAAAGCAAGGTTTCCGTAGTAGGTCTGGGTTCTTTGCTGGAGCCTCTTGTTACGGAGGAAAATTCACTTCTAGGCTTGTAGAATTCAGTTCCAGTGCACTTGCAGGAATGAGGGTCCTGTTCCCTTACTGTAGCAGCCTTGCCTCCCTCAGTTCTTTAAGGCCACACTTGCATGTTCAAAGTCAGCACCAGGAATCTTTATCTTGCTTTAAATCTCTTACATGTCTTCCACTCTAGTTCTCTGCCCTGAAAAGCTCCTACTTCTAGATGTATTCAAAACAAAAGTCGATGTTATTCATGCCATTATATTTTGGGCTTTCCTTGTTATAGAGAAGAGCTTAGTCTTTACCTGCTGGTGTGGGGAGATGGTCCAAAAATGAGGTGTTAACAGTGGTCTTGTAGTTCCATGGCTTCTTCCTATACAATGATGTTCCATTTCTTTTTCTTTTTCTTTTTCTTTTTTTTTTTTTTTCTGACAGGCAGAGTGGACAGTGAGAGAGAGAGACAGAGAGAAAAGTCTTCCTTTGCTGTTGGTTCACCCTCCAATGGCCGCTGCTGCCAGCGCACCGCGCTGGTCCGATGGCAGAAGCCAGGAGCCAGGTGTTTCTCCTGGTCTCCCATGGGGTGCAGGGCCCAAGCACTTGGGCCATCCTCCACTGCACTCCCTGGCCACAGCAGAGAGCTGGCCTGGAAGAGTGGCAACCGGGACAGAATCCGGCGCCCCGACCAGGACTAGAACCCGGTGTGCCGGCGCCGCTAGGCGGAGGATTAGCCTAGTGAGCCGCGGCGCCGGCCTGTTACATTTCAACCACCTGTAAACTTGGACCCAATGGAAATGCAGATCTCAGTCCAAATACAGACATGACCACTTTCAGCTACGTGCCCTAGTCAGCTAACTTTAACTGAATTTCCTTGTCTTTCAGTGGATAATCATATAATGAGTTAGAGTCCTTTGATTTTTTAAAAAGATAGATTTATTTATTTGAAAGAGTTTCAGAGCTAGAGAGAGACACACACACACATACACGGGGGAGGGGGGAGAGAGAGAGAGAGAGAGAGAGAGAGAGAGAGATCTTCCATCTACTGGTTCACTCCACAGATGGCTGCAACTGCTGGGGCTGCACAAGGCTAATGCCAGGAGCTTCATCCCTGTCTCCCATGTGGGTAGCAGAAGCACAAGCATTTGGGCCATCTTCTGCTGCTTTTCCAGGCCATTAGCAGAGAGCTGGACCAGAATTGGAGCACCCGGGACTCAAATCGGTGACTGTATGGGATGCCAGCGTTGCAGGCAGTGGTTTTATTGGTTACGTCACAATGCCAGCCCTAGTTCTCAGATTTTTGTTTTTTCAAGTACCTGTCAAAGGACAATATAAAGAAAATAATCCAGCTTGAAACAAAAATATTATGGTAGGCAGAATTTTTTGAGTGGCCTTATACACACCTTAGAAACATTTCGGGTTATTTGAGTTCTCTAAAATGTATGGAAACAAGGTTGCTATGGGGTACGTGAAATCACTTTGCTTATACCAGCTTTCTGCATAATTAAGTTAACATGTGTCTTTGTCATGTGCCTTACATGTTCTGTAATACTGCATAACTATAGCTAGGCAAGCCTTACACATCTTTTCATACACCCTTGAAGTTGTGTCTTAGCCCATCATCCTTTTATACAAATAGAATCCTACATGTTCTTCAAGATCTGCCGCAGGTTGCCTCACTTCTGTGTTGCTGCCTTGGTTTAGGGGAAAGATATAATCTAACAAATTTGGCTGTGGCCTTAAACAAGTTACTCAGTCTCTTGAGTTTTGCTTTACTAGTATGTAGAATGACAGTGTGACCTTTCAGAGGTAATATGAAGGTCAGAACTAACAATGTATGTAACATATACTATAGTACTTGGTAAATGGTACGTGTTCAATAAAAGATCCCATGCAAGTCTAGCACATTGAGTCTATACCCCCCACCTTTTTTTTCTTTTCTTAAGTTTGTTTTTCTATGTGACAAGTTTGTAAATTCCATGAGAACTGGGACCAAGTCCTGGATACACTGTGGTCCCTAAATATTGGCTTAGTGAACAGGACCTAGCATATATAAAAGTATGTATGAGCTTGAGTTGTGAGGGCTGTCTCTTTTCTTTAGTTTTCTTCTTGTGATTGTCATGGAAAATCAACTGGCTAAATCAACAGAAGAAAGAACATTTCAGTACCAGGATTCTCTTCCATCACTACCCGTTCCTCCACTTGAAGAATCACTAAAAAAATACCTTGAATCAGGTATGATTGCAATCTTTTAGTATACAGTGATCTTGCTAGCAGCTTAGATAACTATAATGCTGTTAGAAGTTGAGAATCTAACTGCTTCTTTGTTCTAGGCTCAGAATAAAATATCCTTAAGATATCCAAAACCTTTCTTTTTATGTTAATTTTTAATTTATGCTAATTTTCCCATAGTTTGAGAAGCCAGAAAGTGTAATAATGAAAAGTACAATGCTCTGCCCATCTCCTGACCCTCTCTGCTTGCAAATCATATTCTCCAGCAAGATTTTAAAATCTTTTACCTGTTTTTTTGTATTGTTTATCTCCATATTTAAATGGACATTCTTTTATTACTGTTTCTTGAGTACTTTAGTTGTAGATCTTATAAATTCATGAAAAGGTGTGGATTTAGCTCTCTTATGTTCTTGGTCCCTTCCTGCCCCATTATATGTACAATTCAACACCCGCTCAGTATCCTCATGCTCTCAAGATAGAGATGACGAAGGCACCAACTGAGACCTCACAGATGTGAATCTATTTACCTGATTTACATCACCTGGCCATCACTGGTTTCGTCATGCAATTATCATTCACAAGTGGACCAGGGCTTTTACTTTGATTACCTTTTCACTGCAATTTCTTGTTTTTACTCCTTTTTTATTTGCTTTGCATTCATAAATTGTTAGACACTTCAGTACACTGACAGTCCCTTAATACATTCAGAAACTTAGCTGTTCAGTCGGTTTCGTTCTTTCTTGGAGACATCCCTCCTGGAGCCCTCTCCACCTGCTCCGATCGCCATTAACTTTTCTTGGGCTTGCTGGACAGCTGATCTTGGGCTTCCCTTTTTTGGGACTGTGATGATTCTCTTCACCTGTCTCTCCTGTTTTGGCATCTGTTTATTAGTTTACTTCCCTATTTTGTGGAATCATCAGTATCTACCTAAGAAAGGATATTTGGGAGAAAAAGTTCTAGGACCTGACATTTACTTGATGTTTGCTTGAGTTTAAACTCTGGGTTAGAAATAAATTTTTTAAGAGTTTTGAAGACATTGTTTGTTTCTCTTGAAAAGTGTAATGTTATCCTAAGTTTTCATCATTTGTATACATATGTATGTATATGACCTATTATTTTTTACTCACTGCATGCATTTTCTCAGATGTGTCCCTTGATAGCCTTTTCATTCATTTCTCTGGGTAGTCATTGGGTTCTTTAAAAAGTTACATTTTTCAGTTCCAGGGAATTTTTAATGTAATTTTTCTGAAAAGAATAGTTTTCTCCTCATTTCTTTCTCCTTTTGGGGTTGAGTTCTTTTGGATGAAGTTTTTTGTTTTGTTTGTGGAGTCAGGGAGTGAGGGAGCTCCTGTCTTGTGGTTCACTTCCCAAATAACTGGAACAGCCGGGGTTAGGCCAGGCCCATGCGTGGAACTAAACCTCGGTCTTCCACAAGGGTGTCAGGGACCCAGCCACTTGAGCCACTGCCTGCCACCTCCCAGGGTGAGCGTTAATAGAAACTCTACCCCAATTTCTCATCACTTTCCACTTCCTAGGCCTTAGAAGGTAGAGCCAGAATTTGAACCCAGGTACTCTGATATGAGGTGTGGGTATTGCAAACATGGTTCTTAAAATATTTTTTTCTGGGGACCGGTCACTGTGGTATAGCAGGCAAAGCCACCATCTGTGGTGCCGGCATCCCATATGGGCTCAGGTTCGAGTCCCAGCTGCTCCACTTCCGATCCAACTCTCTGCTATGGCCTGGGAAAGCAGTGGAAGATGGCTTATGTGGTTGGGCCCCTGCACCCATGTGGGAGACCCAGAAGAAGCTCCTGGCTCCTGGCTTCAGACTGGCCCAGCTCCAGCCATTACGGCCATCTGGGGAGTGAACCAGAAGATGGAAAATCTCCCCCCACCCCCACCTCTACCTCTGCCTCTCTATAACTCTGCCTTTCAAGTAAATAAATAAATCCCTAAAATTTTTTTTCCTCTTTAATTGTTAATGCCTTTCCTTTTTTAAAAGGTCTATTTACTGTTAGATATCACCAGTCCTTTTTGTTTATTTTGCTATTTGACTATCATGTGAGAAGCTTTTCTCAGCTATCTGGCATGAGTGAGACTCTAAAAAGCTTACTGGGAACTCTGTGTGCATGGTAGTAGTGGACCTTATTCTTGGATAGAGATGTAGTGATTCATTAGGACATACCAGAATACCAGCACCCCTTTCTGTTGTGATCAGTTTTCCAAAAGAGGAATCCTTTAATTTTTTTTTTGACAGGCAGAGTTAGACAGTGAGAGAGAGAGACAAAGAGAAAGGTCTTCCTTCCGTTGGTTCACCCCCCAAATTGCTGCTACGGCCGGCGCGCTGTGCTGATCTGAAATCAGGAGCCAGGTCCTTCCTCCTGGTCTCCCATGCGGGTGCAGGGCCCAAGCACTTGGGCCATCCTCCACTGCACTCCTGGGCCACAGCAGAGAGCTGGACTGGAAGAGGAGCAACCGGGACAGAATCCGGTGCCCCAACCGGTACTAGAACCCGGTGTGCCGGTGCCACAGGCAGAGGATTAGCTTAGTGATCCAGGCGCCGGCCACAAATCCTTTAATTTCTGATTTACATCTTAGGTTTCAGAAGTTTTGATTTTCATGGAACATGGACCTGTGTCATTTTTTTGGGGAAGGAAATCATTATTTTCCATGAAGTACCCTAAGCTGCCCTGGATAGGATCCACACTTACGTTTACATACATGCTTCATCTGTGTGCATGATAATCACAGCTCTTATTTGAACACTAATACGAGGATGTTTTATTATTTGTGGTTAGTGGGGTTCACTTTCCTTCTGGTCAATACTCATAGCTAAACAATAGTTCTACCTCATAATCTTAACTACCATCTAGAATGTTTTTAAAATAATTTTTCTGAAAGTTACCAGATTACATAATATTCACTAATTTAGTGTATTATATATTGTTGATTTTCAGCCATTTTCATATTGTAAAGTGTTATAATTTATTATATTGCTGTGATATTTAATAGTGTGTCTTACATACCTGAGTCTTAAGATTTGTATAATAATAATTGAAGTGAGTTGCTGGTACTTGATGTCTAAGCACTTTAATGCATATTTTCCCTTTATAGTAAAGCCTTTTGCAAATGAAGAAGAATATAAGAAAACTGAAGAAATAGTTCAAAAATTTCAAAATGGAATTGGAGCAGAATTGCACCAGAAGTTACTTGAAAGGGCAAAAGGAAAAAGAAATTGGGTATTTATGTTATACTTACCATAGAAAAATTGATATTTAAATGATGAGAAATAAAAATGTAAATAGCTTTCATTTTTAAATTATTGGTGTAAAAGTCCTTGCAGTCTTTATGTTCATCCTACAGAATAAATTAATCACTGAACTCTGGGAAGTTTTGAGTGTTGTGAGTGGGCCCCCTTCTTACGTGTTAAAATGCAGCTTTTCTAGGAGTGGTGATTCTGGATGGGATGTCTGGAATGGGACTCCATGTGGTTCTGACACAGGTGATCTGTAGACCATATTTGAGTATAGCCTGTAAAACTGGCAAACACTAAAATAGGCATGTCACATACGTGGCAGAGAAATATTGAAATAGTATATGGGGAAAAAAAGCCCATTACCAAATTGGAGTGGAGCATAGTTACGAACATTATGTTTCAGTTAGATAAATTGGAGAAGTTGGTTCAGTAATTATTGAGGGTCTTGATAATTTTCACAAGGAGTCTGACTTCTTAAGCTCAATCATTTCTTTACTTCTCTAGTATATGAAATAGAGGCTGAATCTTCATAATTAAAAGGCATTGCCTTACTCTACAGGTAATGATTATAACTAACCTTTAGATTCAGAAATGAAAAGCAAGCTTATCTTGTCATGAGCCATTGAGATTTATAATGGAGTAATAAAATTTATACTTCCACATTTCTTTGTTTTCAATTTTGAGGCTTGAGTGATTTTAACTGAAGTGGGGTAAAGGTAAAGAAGTTGTTCTGCCTTTATTTTTTATGCTTCTGTCATTTTCTGAATTACTAAATATAATTTATAACATCAGTTTCTTCCAAAATAACTAATAACTCCAGGTAATTTGATAAGATCTGCTTACTTACGCATGAAATTCAATGGCATATTGTGAAAGAGGGACACTTAGCATGCAGTGCCTATGAAGAATCTAAATTAGTTTCTTTTGAAGATTTATTTTATTTATTTGAAAGAGTTACAGAGAGAGGTAGAGCCAGAGAGAGAGAGGTCTTCCATCCACTGGTTCACTCCCCCCAGATGACCAAAACGGCCAGAGCTGAGCTGATCCAAAGCCAGGAATCAGGAGCTTCTTCCAGGTCTTCCAACACGGGTGCAGGGGCCCAAGGACTTGGGCCATCTTCTACTGCTTTCCCAGGCCACAGCAGAGAGCTGGATCAGAAGTGGAGCAGCCAGGCACTGCAGGCCATAGCTTTAACCTGCTGTACAACAGCACCAGCCCCCTAAATTAGTTTTAAACCTATACAGCAGTAAAAAAAAAAAAAAAAAAAAAAAAAAGAAATCTGGTCATTTGCAACAAAATGGAGGAATCTGGAAAACATCATGCTGAGTGAAATGAGCCAGTCCCAAAGGGACAAATATCATATGTTCTTCCTGATTGGTGACAACTAACTGAGCACCTAAAAGGAAACCTGTGGAAGTGAAATGGACACTATCAGAAACAATGACTTGATCAGCCCTTGTCCTGACTGTTCAGGAACAACTTACTATTTTATTCCTTTTAGTATTTTTTTTTTTTTTTGTTCTACTTAATACCATTGGTTGAACTCTTCAACACACAATTATTCTTAGGCATTTAAATTTAACTGAAAAGTGATCCCTGTTAAATATAAGAGAGGGAAGAGATGTACAGTTCAGCACATGCTCACTCGGACTTACCCCTAATGGTAGAGCTAGAAACGTGCCCGGGAATTCCAGTTCAGTCCCATCAAGGTGGCAAGTACCAATGACATCTTACTTGTTAAAGTGATCAGTTTAAGTTCATAATTGATCAAAAAGATAGGATTAAGTGTCAAAGGGGTTACATAAATAAGACCAGTGTCTGCAAATAATAATTGATAGAATTAAAAAGGAGAGAATGATCTTACATGGAAAGCAGGATACACAGCAGACTCATAGAATGGCAAATGCCCTAAACAGCACTCTGGCCTCAGAATCAGCCCTTAAGGCATTCTAATCTGGCTAAAAAGCCCATGAGAGTTTCACAGGCATGGAAAGCCAAGACACTTTGGGGGAAAATAAATGACCTAAATGGAAAATCTCTGTGAGAGATCCCAGCTGAAAAAACAGGCCATCAAATAAGGCAGTACCTTTCTCTGAAGGGAGGAGAGAACCTCCACTTTGATTATGGCCTTGTCTAAATAAGGTCGGAGTTGGTGAACTCAAGAGGCTTCCATAGCCTTGGCAGCTCATGACAAGAGCCTTGAGTGATTACTGACATCATAAATAAGAGTGTCAGTTGTTAAATCAACAACGTGAGTCACTGTGCACCTGCTCCCCATGTAGGACCTCTGTCCTTAATGTGTTGTACTATGCGAATTAATGGTAAAACTACTCAAACAGTACTCTATATTTTGTGTGTCTTTGTGGGTGCAGTCTGTTGAAATCTTTACGTAGTATATACTCAGTTGATCTTCTGTATATAAAGATAATTGAAAATGAATCGTGATGAAGAATGGGATGGGAGAGGGAATGGGAGATGGGATGGTTGCAGGTGGGAGGGAGGTTATGGGGGGAAAAGCCACTATAATTCAAAAGTTGTACTTTGTAAATTTATCTTTATTAAATAAAAGTTAAAGGAAGAAAAAAAAGAAAATATGTTTTAAGTTGAAGATGAGTAAAGAACCAATGTTGCTTGCTCTTTTTTTTTTTTTTTTTTTGCCAGCAGTTATGCATTCACATATTGTGAAGGACATTAGGCTGATGTTAATTTCTTTTAGCTGGAGGAGTGGTGGCTGAATGTGGCCTATCTGGATGTTCGTATACCATCACAACTGAATGTCAACTTCGCGGGTCCTTCGCCCCATTTTGAACACTACTGGCCTCCAAAAGAAGGCACTCATTTAGAAAGAGGAAGTATAATTCTTTGGCATAACTTGAACTACTGGCAGCTATTAAGAAAGTAAGAATACTTAAGTGAATTTGTAATAGGTTTACCTGACGTCTCAGGTGGCAAAATGTTGAGAAGCTTCATTTATTTGGGGTTGAGTACTATAGATGTGACTGGTTGGTTTATAAGTCTAATAATGAGTTCTTAATCATAATCCTGTTTTTAATAGGGAAAAAGTGCCTGTTGACAAAGTTGGGAACACTCCTCTAGATATGAATCAATTCCGAATGCTGTTTTCTACCTGCAAGGTTCCAGGAATTACTAGAGATTCAATTATGAATTATTTTAGGACTGGTAAGTGAAAACATGCAAATGTGTTGGGATTTGGGTAGTTTGATGTAATTTTTACTGAGTCGCCATGGAACATAGTTTTGAAGAATGTTTGCTTGTTGGACTTTGACAAAGACTTTGCATGAATCTTCTATGTTGTTCTATTTTGTTGGGATGTAATGTATGGGAACAGGTTTTCCAAACTGTGTCTGACATGGTCCAGCACAAACCCGTGACTTGTGTTGTATCATCTGAGAGTTTAAACAATTTAGCTGAGAGTAGAATTCTGAATCAGAATACTGAAGAAATCCTGGAGCATATGTTCTGGATGCCTTTCTTTCTACTGTCATCTCTATTATCTGAACTATCCATTCAGGTGTTTGATTGTCTGTGTTCATCATACTCATTTCTCTTTGCAAATATGTTTTCCCTATCTGAGCTGAAAGTCTGGAGGCAAATAGGTTTAGATTGACTCATCAAATTTCTGTTTTTACAGTTCAGTGGCAATTTTTGCTTGATGTCCCCTTCAAATGGAAGAATTTGTTGTAATTGCTGATGTTATTACTTTAGGAATGTTTTTGTTTTTTGAAACTAATGACAGTTTACAATCACTGTAGAGTACAATTTTGAGTGGATAAAGTAAAGGTTTTAAGAGCCAGTTAAGCTCATACAGTGAGCTTAGTTTACTGTTACAGAGAATTCAACTTCTCTTAGTAAGCCCCTATAGACGATTGAGGCGTTCAGTGTCTTTGAGCCCATGTGATTTACCTTAATGTTGCAAGTGAAAGAATTAAAAGAAATTTCAGGGAAACTGGGTTATTCATAGCAAAATTTAGTGTCTAAATGTAAGTGGAAGAGAAAAACAGAAAAGTGATGTAAGAATAGCAGTAATGAAGAGAGGAAAATTGAAAACTGATGTTGCTAAGACCTGGTTTTGAATTTGGTCTTGGTTACTTAGGTATGTCCTTTATAAAGTAACTCCTTCAAGTTAGAGTGTGTAAAACAAGGATTCATTAATAACATTTCTTGTTACAGTGGTATAAACTGTCATAATTGTAATATTCTTAGACTTAGAGCTATGTGAAGAAGTATATAGGGATAAAGCTGGAGTAATAAGTAAACAAGAAAAAAATTCAGAATTAGTGGTAAGTACTGTGTAGAAAATTTAAATGAATGATATGTGACTGTTTTAGGTTACACTGTAGAGAAGGCTTCTCTGGGGATGTGAATGATATGATGGACCAGTGTAGGTTTTGGCTTTTTTTAGTTTGGTTTAAGTCAGTTTTGTTTTTGTGCTCTGTGTGTGTGTGTGTGTGTGTTGAGGGAAGGATCTCCCCCAGGGAAGAAATAAACTTGGCATGTTCAAAAAGCAATAGGACAGAGCAGAGTAGGCAAGAGGGAGAGGGGTGGATTGAGGAGGTGACTAGAGACCCTGTAGTACTTTGTAAACCAAGAGAATAGGTTTTTGGCTTTTATTTTAATACTAACGGGTTTTGAGAAAAGTAGTAACGTGCAGATTTATGTTCCAAAAGACCATTCTTTCGCTGTAAGCACAGAAGCGGGGAGATGACTTAGGCAGTTGTTAGGATCATCCAAGTGAGCTGATACAGGCATGTGCTAGGGTGGTTATAAGGTACCAGATTCTAGATATACTTTGGATATGAGGTTATCCGAATTTTCAGAGTTAAGTTGTGAGATACAAGACAGAATCAGCAATCAGAGATGACTTTAAGATATTTGACTTCATCAATTAATGTGATATATTAATGTGTATGTTCATATGGTAAGAAAAATTGGGAGGAGATGTTTTAGTAAAGAATAATCTAGAGGTCACTTGGACTATGTTGAATTTAAGATGCCTTTTAGTAGAAATCTAAGCAGGCAATTGGAGACAAGGTGTAGAATTCTGGGAAAGTACTGTAGATAGTGACTTTAGGACTCATCACCAGTAGGCAGAAATGATTTTTAGAGCTGTTAGAGTAGGTTAGGGGCCGGCACTATGACGTAGTGGATAAAGCCACTGCCTGAAGTGCTGGCATCTTATATGGGCGCCAGTTCAAGACTCGGCTGCTCCACTTATGATCCAGCCCTCTGCTGTGGCCTGGAAAAGCAGTGGAAGATGGCCCAAGTCCTTGGGCCCCTGCACCTGTGTGGGAGATCTGGAGGAAGCTCTTGGCTCCTGGCTTCAGATCAGCACAGCTCCAGCTGTTGCATCCAATTAGGGAGTGAACTGGTGGATAGAAGACCTCTCTTTGTCTCTCTGCCTCTCCTCTCTCTGTGTAACTCTGACATTCAAATAAATAAATAATTTTTTTTTAAAAAAAGAGTAGGTTAAATTACTTTTGGCACATATGTAAGTCAGGGTGCTGGGCTTGGGGGAGCAGTACTAATTCTTATCATAACCTAATAGAGGAGGAGGAGCCAGCAAAGGAGACCAAGAGAAGTAGGAAGAAAATGAGCCCAGTGGTCCCCTTGAAGTCAAGAGAAGGAAGTGTTTTATTTATGCTGGTGGAAATGTGACCACTGGGTTTGTCAGCAGAATGGGGACAGATGCTGTCCTGGACCAGAGCAGTTTTAATGCAAGCGGAGGAAAGAAGTTCAGTTTAAAGAGATGAAAGCAAATTGATGAAGTGGTGACAACATTTGGAAATAATACTTGGAAAAAATGTTGGTATGCAGTGGAAGATTTAAAAACTTGTGTTTTAAACGATTGATGATATTACATCTTAGTAATAATAGAGGAGAGAAAAAAATTACCTTGCAAGGGAGGAGATAAGGGGCCAAATCATTGAGAAGAAGAGGGGTGGGAGGTAAAGAGCAGGATGGTAGAGGAGAGGATCTCCCACCAAAGAAAGCAGGGACCAGGAGGGAGTGCATCTGGATGCAGACGAGAGCCACTTCTACTGCAGGAAGATGAGGAGCTCCTTTGTGTTGCTTGTGTTTTCCTTTGTCAAGCTGAGTTCCTTAGCCGAATTGGAAGATTTGAGGAGAAAAGAGAAGGTTTAAAATAGTCACTGTGGGATATGGGAAGAGGAATTGTGCTGTAGACATGTGAGGTTGCTGAGTAATGTTTAGTGCCCATTTGAGATGTATGTTCATGAATTTAAAGTTATACTGGATGATGTGTGTTTTCTTAAGCAATATGCAGGGGCAAGTGCAGAGGTAAGGATTTTTGCAAGGGAGAAATTGCAGTGTAGGGCTATAGAACCTGTTCTTGATAAGGAGAAAATATAAGAAACTTTATGTGTTGAAAGGAGGGCAGAATGTAAGGTGCTGGCCTAGTAAGGAGTCTGTAACCAGAACTAGTTTGCTTTTTAGCCTTCCCCTAAGAGAGGATGAGTCATGGTTTCATCCTTGTTGACCTCATTTGGCTCCAGAAGCTCATGCTTTCCATGTCATCTCTTGTTATCTTTGATCCAAGTTCCCTGCTGCTGTGACTTACCCCACCACTTCCCCAAAGCCTCCTGATCAGCACAATCCACTGCATCCTCAACTTTTACTCTGAAGGATTCCACCACTACTTCTCTTGTAAGCATCTCAGTGGGAGGTTTTTTTTAATGTTTATTCTTTAGTTCTGCAGGCTTCATGGGAGGTGTTGGCATCCTGTTTATTTCCCTTTGCCTTTTCCATTTTCTGTTTTTACAGTTTGGACTCTTTGGGCAGAAAAAAAAAGCTGTTAGGTTTTATAACCACTGCTCGTGACATTATAATGACTTTGCTTCTGACCATTCCTTTTCACTCATTGGTTACTTTAGCATCAGTCTCACTGTTTTTCTGTTACTACCCCTGGATGGCTTTGAAGATGGAAGAAGGGGTTCCTGAGCCAAGTCGTATGGGCGGCCCTTCGAAAAGCTGGAAGGGGGAAAGAAACAACCTCGCTAGAGCTCCAGAATGACCACAGCCTGCTGACTCCTCCAGTTTAGCCGCACTAAGACACATTTCAGATTTCTGGCCTTCAGATTGGAAGGCAGTAAGTTGTGTTGTTTTGAGTCACTGAGTAAATGGTAATTTGTTAGTGCAGGCTTTGAGAACATCCGGTGTTTTCCCACTCTCTTGCAGTACATTATCACACATTTGTATACTTTGTCTTCCTTCTTCAATAATAGATGTCATGTTCTGACTCCTAAGGTCAACTCTCCCAAATGTGTTCTGGACCTCATGTTGTCTCATCAAGGATCTTGCATATGCATTATATGCATTGCCGTCTTTTTCTCTTTGCTAGATGTTCCAATCTGGACTGACTCTCTCTCTCTCTCTCTCTCTCTCTCTCTCTCTCTCTTTTTAGATTTATCTATTTGAAAGAGTGACAGAGAATGAGTGAGGGACAGACAGAGTCCTTCCATGTGCTGGTTCACCCCTAAAATGGCTGCAATAGCCAGGTCTGGGCCAGGCTGAAGCCAGGAGCCAGAAATTCCATCTGGATCTCCCACCTGGGTGGCAGGGGCCCAAACACTTGAGTCATCCTCCTCTGCCTTCCCAGGTGAATGAACAAGAACCTGGATCAGACGCAGAGCAGGTAGGGCTCAAACCAGCCCTCTGATACTGGATCCCACCTTGCAGGCGCAGCTTAACCTACAATACCAGCTCGTCCTATAGTAAAAGAAAAGTAATTTGTTTCCTTCAATGTCAGCCACTAGGTCAAAGTCACCATCTTCTCTCACTTAGGTCATTTTTACCTGCCTGCTAACTCACCTTGCTGCGTCTTCTCTTCTGGCCATAATCTGTTTTCCATGTAGCAGCTGGAATAACCTTTCTTAAGTGTTGGATTACATTATCACTGTCACTCTTCAGCTTCCTTCCCAGCATACTTCATATTGAAAGCCTGTTCTGAGGTCAGTATGATGCGGCTGCCGCTCTGTACTTCTCTTTCCTGCTCTGAGTGCACTGACCTCATTTCCCTCGAAGCGAAGCAGCCACAGTTGTCCTGATGTCTTTTCACTTGCCGTTCCTGTGGAACTGCCATGGTGCACTTTCTCACTTGGTGCAGTGTTCTGCCCAGGCCTCTCATCTCAGGTTCATCCCGAGTTAACACCTCTTGCCATCACCCCCACTTCCGACTGTTTATTGATTAATTGGGCAGCTGATGTATTTTCTTTATTTTCCAGCCCTAAAATTTGGGAAGATGTGGTCAGTAGGTGATAGCAATAAAAGGTAGTGGTTGACAATGTGTAAGGATCTGGAGGAGAAGAGAGACAAAAGGAGTAGCCATTAGGAGCCGGGAAAATACATACTCACCTCCCAGTTCTTGAGAAAATAGGTATAAGACTGGTGTTATCAGTAGTCCTTTTTTGTAGGTTCATGAAATAATGTGGGTAAAGAACTCAGCACCACCCAATACATTTCCTTCCAGTGGCAGTGTGTAAGGGTACTTCAGAGAGTTCATGGGAAAATAGAATTAAAAGATCAGTGTATTTTGGTACAAATTCTTTAAAATTTTTATTTTTCTTTTTATTTGAAAGGCAGAGATTAGATCTATCTTTCTTTCTACCTATCTATATCTATATCTATATCTATATCTATATCTATCTATCTATCTATCTATTTTCCATTTGCTGATTCACTCTCCAAATGCCCTCAACAAGTAGGGCTGGGCCTGGCTGAAGCCAGTTCAAACCGGGTCTCCCCCATGGGTGGCAGGGACCCAAGGACTTGAGCTGTCACCTGCTGCCTCTGAGGGTGTACACCAACAGGAAGCTGGATTAGAAACAGAAAAACTGAGATTTGAAACAAGCTTTCTTGATACACAGTGCCAGTGGTCAAGTGGCAGCTTCACTGCTGTGCTAAAAGCCCACCCATCCATTGTATGGATTTTCCATGAACCTTTTGAAGGTCCCTCATGCATGTATGTTTCTCTTCCTCTTTTTAATTTTTGCTGTCATGTAGGAAGACCCTTGGCAAAGGAAGTAGTAACTAAAAACTGGGCTAAGTCAGAGTAGTCTGAAATTTACACCAAATAAACAGTTCTTGGGGAATTAATGTGTGCCAAAGGGATCAGAATTCATAGTGATATTTACTATTAGCAAAGCCTTAATTAGAAACAGACTGGGCCAAACTCTTTCCTCTTGTCAATTACGCAAGTGATGTTCATTTCAACTTAAAACATTTTTTTTCTTTGAGGAATCATAGTTTGATATCTTTGCAGTTAAATTCTCTGAAGAACAGTTAACAAATAATCCCAAAGAGAAGCTCATGAGTTCAAATGATTCTCCTCTCTGGACCCCTTCTACTATTCTCACTTCTTTCCCCAAATAAAACTAGAAGACCTTGTGGCAGTTTGGGATTTGTATGATTCTTAGGGTATATAAATATTTGAAGTTCTCATGGATTTCTAGGTATTGTCTATGGACACATTTAAAGATATGTATTTACTTCATAGTAACTGAAATTCTTTTAACTTGCATGTTGTTCATGTTATATATTTGATGAATATATGATGAAAAAAATCACTTTCCTCCAGTTTAAATTTTGGAGATTTGAGTCTTCTGTCTTCTGTCTCTTTTTCCAGAGAGTGAAGGGCATTCCCCAAGTCACCTTGCAGTGCTGTGTCGCGGCCGAGTTTTTGTCTTTGATGTAATACATGAAGGCAGTCTGATCACCCCGCCAGAGTTTCTCAGGTCTTCAAACTACTTTATCTTGAGTCTCACCGCATGTTAAGTTTTTACTTGAGTTAAAAAAGTAAATGTTCAGAAACACCTTTCTGTGAAATGTCGGTAAAATGAAAAACAAAATTTTATACATGCTTACTTTTAAAGAACTTTTCTTTTTAATTTAATTTTTTGAGACACAGGGAGAAGATGCAGAGATTGGAAAAAGATTAGTTCTTAATTTTATTATATGCACTTGAATATGTTCTACTTGGAGAAAAGGAAACCATAGATATGTTCCTTTCCCTGCTCCAGATTTTTTTTTCAAGATTTTACTTACTTGAGAAATAGAGTTATAGACAGTGAGAGGGAGAGACAGAAAGAAAGGTCTTCCTTCCATTAGTTCACTCCCCAAATGACTGCCGCAGCTGGAGCTGGGCCAATTCGAAGCCAGGAGCCAGGAGTTTCTTCTGGGTCTCCCACATGGGTGCATGTGTCTAAGGACCTGGACTATCTTCTATTGCTCTTCCAGGCCACAGCAGAGAGCTGGATCAGAAGTGGAGCAGCTGGGACTCGAACCAGTATCCATATAGGATACTGGCAATGCAGGCGGTGGCTTTACCCACTGTGCCACAGCGCTGGCCCCAATGCATTTTTTTTAAAAGATGTATTTATTTGTTTGAAACACAGAGTTACAGAGGCAGAGGCAGATAGAGAGAAGTCTTCCATCTGCTGGTTCACTCCCCAGACGGCTGCAGTGACCGGAGCTGGGCCAATCTGAAGTCAGGAGCCAGGAGCTTCTTGTGGGTCTCCCATGTGGGTATAGGGGCCCAAGGACTTGGACCAACTTCTGCTTTCCCAGACCATAGCAGAGAGCTGGATCAGAAGTGGAGCAGCTGGGATTTGAACCAGTGCCTAAATGGGACGCCAGCACTGCAGGTAGAGGCTTAGCCCACTACACCACAGCCCCGGCCCAGGGAAATGAATCTTATGAGAAAACTGCAGGCCGGCGCCACGGCTCACTAGGCTAATCCTCTGCCTTGCGGCGCCAGCACACCGGGCTCTAGTCCCGGTTGGGGCACCAGATTCTGTCCCGGTTGCCCCTCTTCCAGGCCAGCTCTCTGCTGTGGCCAGGGAAGTGCAGTGGAGGATGGCCCAAGTCCTTGGGCCCTGCACCCCATGGGAGACCAGGGTAAGTACCTGGCTCCTGCCATCGGATCAGCACGGTGTGCCGGCCGCAGCGCGCCGGCCGCGGCGGCCATTGGAGGGTGAACCAACGGCAAAGGAAGACCTTTCTCTCTGTCGTCTCTCTCTCTCACTGTCCACTCTGCCTGTCAAAAAAAAAAAAAAAAAAAAAAAAACTGAAAAACTGCATAGATTTCAACATTTTGGTACCCAAATAAATTTATCTTTTGATTCCATTTCCATGAACTTTTTGAAGTATCCTCATAGTTGCATGTGTTCCATCCTTCCAGACCTGTTGTAATGAATGTATATGTGCAATAGTTTTAAATAGAGAACATATATATATATATGAGTATAGTATATATTATATGTATGTGCATGCATACATACATATAGTAGTGTATGTATAATATGTATATATGGCATGTATTGTGTGTATATATTTTTAAAGTATGTTATGGAAATTTTGAAACTATTGAAGGAATCATGTAATGAAGACCTCCATGTATCCATCCACTAGCTACAACAGCTATCAACTCCTAGCTTCAGCAGTTATCAACTCCTGGCTTTACCAGTTATCAACTCATGCTTGGTGTTGGTTGACTCTTGTGCCCTCCTTTTCCCTCTCCATTGGATTGTTTTGAAGAAAATCTCAGAATATCCTTCCACCAAAAATATTTTAGAATATATCATATTAGTATATATAAGAGGTCTTCCAAAAGTTCATGGAAAATGCATATTATGAAACAACAATGCATGGATTTCAAAATTTATTTGCACCAAAATAAACTTACTTTTGAATTCCTCTTTTCATGAACCTTTGGAAGCATCCTTGTATCTTCATAAGCTGTAAGGATTCTTAAAAAACATATAGTACCATTATCACACCTAAGGACTGGCCTCTAGTGACAGTAATTCTTTATTATCATTAATACATAATCAACTATTCAAGTTTCCTAGATTATTTTATGAATATTGTGTTGTCTATAATTTAAATGTATTTATTAAATACATATATGTACAAAAGCACACACAGAAATAGTCAGCTAAATATTCATATAAGCACCACCCAAGTCAACGCCAAGGTTTCTGGTCCTCCAGATCTGCCCTCATCCCTCTTCCCAGGCACTGTGCTTCCCCTCCCTCTTAGGGAAACCCCTGCCTCTCAGATAAACTTTTTTTTAATAAAGGTTTTATTTACCTATTTGAAAGGCAGAGTTACTGAGAGGCAGAAGCAGAGATTGATAGAGAAAAAGAGCGCGCACGAGAGATAGTTTCCATCCGCTGACTGGCTCACTCTCCAAAGGGCTGCAACAGCCAGAGTTGAGCTGATCTGAAGCCAGGAGCCAGGACCCTCTTCCAGGTCTCCCACCTGGGTACAGGGGCCCAGGGACTTGGGCCATCTTCTACTGCTTTCCTAGGCCATAGCAGAGAGCTGGATCAGAAGTGGAGCAGCCAGGACTCAAACCGGCACTCATATGGGATGCTGGCACTGCAGGCAGCAGCTTTACCCACTACACCACAGTGCTGGCCCCTCTCAGACAAACTTTTAAAAAATCTGGTGAACTTGCAAGTGAACAGTTATTTTCATTTCATTAAATTTGCATTTCCTTCATTACTAGTGAGGGTCAGCATTTTCATATGTATTTATAGACCATTTCTGTTTTCTGTGAATTGTTTTTGCTTATTTTTCTACTGAGTGTTTTATTAATAGTTATTTTTTGATCTGGACACTACTTTATTAAAGGAATAAATTTTTTAAGAAATTGTACATTATTAATTTTGATGTAGGCAAATTTATCTTTTAGGTCTTTTGCTTTTGTGATTTGGCTAATATTTGCTTATGTGCCAGTTACAGTATTTAATCTTGCCCAAATTTGGCATGTAATTATTAGGTCAGGCTTAGTAATTGGATTACTCAAAGCCAGTCTTCCAGAAATTGAATACACGTGATCCATCAATTCAGCCTGTGACCTAATTTTTTTGTTTTTTGAGAACAGAAAATTTGAATCATTGTTTAATAATGAAGAGAGTTCACATAAAAATCTGGATTTCTGATTTCTCTTTAAAATATTACAAGTTCTGACAACACTAGCCTACATTCTGGCCTGGCATCGTGGCCTGGACCTGGGTAGTTTGAAAGGTGCCCATTTCAGACTGTGCTTTGTTTCAGCTTGCTACTGCCCTGGGCACTCCCTACACTAAGGCCAAATGTTCCCTCCATTTTCCTTTCACTGAACACTGGGCTGGTTTGTTCTTTTTGTTTAATAGTAGAGAAATAGTTTTCTATTCTCATACCTCTATCAAAAAAGGATAACTAGAACTTTATATGTGAATATAGTGATGGTAGGCCTAACTTGCCATATATATCTTATTTCTTAGATGCCTATCTGCCTCAGTGGAACCATCACCTACCCATCACCCAAATCTGAACTGATGAAGTGACCCTCGCCATCTCCCTTGTGTCTCATATTAATCAGAAGCAAAGCCCTCCTCATTTCCCTCTTACTGATTTCTTAAATTCTTTGTATCTTCCCTCTCTGCTTTGCTTTTGTTCAGGTTTTTATGATGTCACTGCTAGATTATTAGCTCAAACTCCATGATGATTTTCTTGCCTCCACATATTCTCCATGTCATCTGAGTAATGTGGCTGTAAAAGTCAAATGTGATTTGATCTTACCTTTGCTTAAAATTATTTTTTTAATATATTTGAAAGGCAGAGTTACAGACAGAGAAGGAGAGACACAGAGAGAGATCTTTCATCTGCTGGTTCACTCCCCAAACGGCTGCAACAGCCACGGCTGGGCCAGACTGAAGCCAGGAGCCAGGAGCTTCATTCAGGTCTCCTAAGTGGGTGCAGGAGTCGGAGCACTTGGACCATCTTCCGCTGCTTCTTCAGCCACATTAGCAGGGAGCTGGATCATCAGTGAACAGCCAGTGCTGCAGGCAACAGCTTAACCTGCTAAGTCACAACGCTGGCCCTCTGCTTAAAATTCATAAATGTTCCTTAAATTACTCCGCAAGAGTCTGGATTTCACTCTGGCCAACCTCTGTAGCCCATGTGCTGCCCTTCTTCCTGTGTGTCTTACATTCCTGTCTTGTATTGCTATCCCGTGCTTTGCTTGCAGTCCTTGTAGCATGTTGGATTATCTGTGGTTTTCACACATACATTTTCTGTTTGGAATGCTCATTCCAGCTTGCTCTAGCTGGCAAATTCTTAAGTTTATGTTTCTGTTCAGGTGTCACCAGGAGGTCAGGTATTTCCTAACTTCTTTTTCCATTTCCTCTCCCCAAACCCCAAAGAGTTAACTCCTTTAGGCTCTCTGTGTACTGGTCCTTAGCTCTGTTATACTGATTTCAGTGTTGAATTGAAATTATTTGTTTCTGTGTTTTCACAGACAGAGCTCTAATAGATTAGTTAGGAGGTCTCCTTTGTTTCCTGTTGCTTAGTACACAGTAGGATTTCATTTTGTGTGTGTGTGTATGTGTGCGTATATATTGAAATATACAAGTGTGATTGTATGAATTGAGAGATCAGGCAAGATCTGTGCATAAGGAAATTTTAACTAAAAACATAGGATACAATTAGAAACATAAAATAGATTGCTCAGATTCTGAAAAAATATATTTGGTACCATGTGAAGAAAAAGAGAGGTAGAATTTTTCTATTTTAGCTTTCAGAATTTATGCTAATTCCTGTGCCAGGAACCACAAGCCACAGAAGCTTAATCCTCATCTGGGGCAACATTAGGACTCGGTACAGAGAGGTAGGCAGGCAGAGAGGCAAGGCAAGCTGCCCCTCTCCACCGGAGATTGCCCTTTGTCGTGTGAACCTCACCTGCTCCACAGCACACCATTAATGTGCAAATAAGAGTGAGGAATTTTGCAGGGAGGAATTTTTTAACAGTGTCACAAACGAATTTAATAGAGGAAATTAGGAAAATCAGTAAGTTTCTTCCAGTTTTGAATGATGAAGCCACAAAGAAGAAATGGCTATGCATGGTACATTTTTATAGTGACTTACACTCTGTTGACTAACTTTCTGAAGAATTCTAGGAAGCTTTTAAATTGAGGTAATTTCTTAGCATGTGCCGTGGGAAAGTAGGGCTTTAACTGATGAAAATGTATCTCTTGGGGCTGGCGCTGTGGCATAGTGGGCAAAGCCACGGCCTGCAGTGTTGGCATCCCATATGGGTGCTGGTTCAAGTCTTGGCTGCTCTGCTTCCCCCATGGCTCTCTGCTAGTGTGCCTGGGAAAGCAGTGGAAGATGTCCCAAGTGATTGGGCCAGTGTACCCACATGGGAGGCTCAGAGGAACCTCCAGGCTCCTGCCTTGGGATCGGCCCAGCCCCCTCACTTAGGGCTATATAGGGAGTGAACCAGGGATGGACGAACTCTCTCTCTCTCTTTCTCTCTCTCTGCCTCTTTGTAACTTTGCCTTTTAAATAAATAAATACGTCTTTAAAAAAAAAACTTATCTCTTTATAGAAAAACTTTTTTACCTGCTGACTATTTAAAGACACCTGAAATTCATCAGACTGGTAGCACAGAATGCTAAGGGGAAAATGACTTATCCTCTGCTAGTAGAGGCTTTAAACCATAATGGTCAGAAGTAAGAAAGTGGCACATGTGAAAACATTGATAAGTGACTTCTTGGTACCTCTATTTTTTAGGTAAAACACAAATATTAGTTGTGTATGCAGTAACTCCTATGGTTTTACTTGTATCTATATGTAGATAGATACACATAATTTTTAGCTACATAGGAAGTATGCGATTTTTTTTAAAGATTTATTTATTTATTTGAAAGAGTTATACAGAGAGAGGAGGAGAGAGAGACAGAGAGAAGGAAGGAAAGAGAGAAAGAGAGAGAGCTCTTCCATCTGCTGGTTCACTCCCCATTTGGCCACAACAGCCAGAGCTGAGCCAATTTGAAGCGAGGAGCCAGGAACCTCTTCTGGGTCTCCCATGCGGGTGCAGGGGCCCAAGGGCTTGGGCAATCTTTTACTGCTTTCCCAGGCCATAGCAGAGTAGATCGGAAGTGGAGCAGCCAGGACTCGAACCGGTGCCCATATGGGATGCTGGCACTGCAGGCGGCATACCCACTATGCCACAGTGTAGCCCACATATGTGATGTTTCTAAGAGTGATTACCAAAATATTTTTCAAGTTCCCATTGTAAAGGAGATTTTCTTGAACGTTGGAAGTACACCACATTTTCAAAGTATAAATCAGATCAGCCAAATTGAATCCTTTTTGTAGAAATGAAGTTACTTTCAAATATACTTTGGTATTAATGGAACATATCATCACTTTTTAAAAAGATGTGCAGGAAATGTATTGCTGTGGAGGTCATGTGTCTGTTTCTTTGGGTCGTGTCCTGAAACATTTAAATTCTGGTCAACACGATGGCTGTCAGCGGCCGAAGCATCTCTGAATGCTCTTGCCTCCCTCTCCCTCAGACAGCTGACGCACATCCAGGAGAAGTGCCGCAGGGAGCCCGAGGGGCCTGGGATAGCCGCGCTCACCAGTGAGGAGCGGACCCGGTGGGCTAAGGTAGTGAGTGCTGCGTTGCTTAAGGGGCCTTTTCTCTCACAAGCTGCTTCCACATTTCTCTGGATGTATTGTATGTACATTTAACAGGAAATCATTCTCTCCTGTCTCTTTAGGCACGAGAATATTTGATTAGTCTCGATCCAGAGAACTTGACTTTGTTAGAAAAAATTCAGAGCAGCTTATTTGTGTATTCCATGGAAGATGGCAGGCCACATGTAACACCGGAAGATTATTCCCAGGTAACTTTCTTCTCCTGCTTTCTGCTTCTTCTGTTGTTAGAGTCAGATTTTCCAGTTGCGGATTCGCTCTCCCGGATGGCTGTAACGTCTGGCGCTGGGCCAGGCTGAAGCCAGGAGCTTGGAACTCCAGCTAGCAGAGGCTCAAGCCCGTGAGCCATCTTTTGCTGCTTTCCCGGGCACATGCGCAGGGAGCTGGATAGGAAGTCGAGTAGCCTGCACTTGAACCATCGGGCCTGTAAGATGTTGGCATCACGGGTGGGGCTTTACCCACCACGCCTCAACGTTGGCCCCGTTCTTCTCACAGATTTTTTTGGAGGACTCATGTATAATGAACATGAGGACATGAGGTTTTCTTTCCTTTTTTTTTTTTTTTTTTAATTCAGGCTCTTAAAACTTCTGTTAAGATATAAAGTATACATGTGCCAAATTGAACCTTATATATGAATAAATAGTGCTTTGTAAATCCTTGCTACATTGTTTAGGTCTATTTAGATGTGTTTGGTACTTTGTTTAAAGACCTAGGAGTGCTTTTGGTATATTTTGGGCCAGTGTTTCCCAGCCTTTTTGTTGATCATACAAACAGAATATTACACTGGGGCAAATAAACTTTTCTTGACAAAGGTGACATGAGCACTTGCCTGTAACTCATACCAGTGTGCCTTAACACCTTAGCTGGGAGGGTCTGCCTATGAGCTACATCACCCCTGTAAGTAATCCTGTCTTTGGTTTTGTTGAACACTCTGACTTGAGTGATTTTAAGGGTGAATGTGGCCTTGATTTTTTCCTCTCCCCTCTCCCCTTAAGCAGTATTCTTCCTGGGAAATAAAAGATAGTAATCATATTAGTGGAAACGTCAGAACCTTTTGAAAACACTTAAAATATTTCATAATGCATTCATCAATATTACATGATAGGAAAAAATAATCCAGGATGAAAAAACCTTGTAGCTAGAAAAGGACTTTTCTTTAGCTGCCTTTTTTGTTGTTTGATTTTAAGAAATTCATGAAACTCCTTAAGAATATGTCTTAGGGAGTAGGCATTGGGTGCAGCCATTAAGTTGCTGCTTGGGTCACATACATTGCAAATTGGAGTACCTGGTTCAAGTCTGCTCAGGCTCCTCCATTTTGAATTCAGCTTTTTGCCAAAAGTACACTAGTAGACATGGATGATGGCTCAAGGACCTTAAGTCCCTGCTACCTATGTAGGAGACCTAGATTAGTTGCCAGCTCCTGGATGTTGTGGGCATTTGGAGTGTGAACCAGGAGATAAAAGATCTCTTACTGTCTCTCAAAAAAATGTAAATAAATAAAAAAAATTTTTTAAATGTTTTAATGCAGTATTTTTCAGACTTTTTGGACTACAGTCTGTACTTACAAATGGATTTAGCCCACTATATTATACACATGTGCATGAATCTGCACAAATGGATCTATAATAGAAGTTTCACAAAACTTTCAAAATTACTTTTACTGTCTGTGATGTACTCTGATATTTCTATTCTATTTTATTGTATTTGTAAGACTATTCATTGTGATAAGCTAAATTGATTTTATGACTAAAAGGTTCAGAAAGCTATAGTTTAAAACATAGATTTAGTGGGATATGAGTTCTTAAAATATTTCTTAGAGTATTTTCCTCCTAACTGAGCTTTAATAACTCAATTTATGAAGGCCAGATACTATTCAAATTACAAAAGCTTTCTATGTTCCAGTGAATGTTCTATAAAAATCCATGATTCTTGTACCACCATCCTATTCTCATAGAATTTTTTAAACTGAGATTTTGAGAAATAGTTAAAATTGGGCTATAATTATCTCTTAGGTTTAACCACATTATTAAATTTAGTTGGACTTAGAACAAGTAAGATGATATATAGGTGTTCAAGATGAAAATACTTACCATTGTTAAAACTATTTTAATTTGGAAAAATTACATTTATTTTAGATAATTTCGATACTGTTTAGTGGAGATCCTACGGTACGCTGGGGTGACAAATCCTATAATTTGATTTCCTTTTCTAATGGAGTATTTGGCTGTAATTGTGATGTAAGTAAACTCTTGAAGTTTCTCCCTCCCTTTTAATATTTAGGTAAATTTAATGGCAGTGAGCAACAGATACTTGCTCTGTGCTGCAGTGTAGTAGAAGTAAACACTTATTTCATTTTAAGACATTATAATAACAGCCTTAGTTATGAATTCCCAGTAACAGTGGAATATATGATAAATTGTTTTCTACTATAGAAAAGCCAACATTTTGGGATGTAGCTGCAAAATGAAGATGCATGTAATATTTATATAGTGGCAGCTAACAAAGCTGTTACCTGCTTGTTGAGATTTATAACCTATTTTACGAGATACAATACGATATTATGTATATGTGTGTTCTATGTATAAGAAACTGAATATATTTCTAAGTTCCAAGATTTACTTAGTAATTAGATAAGTATTTTCCTTAAATGACACATAATCTTCTTGACTCTGTTTTGACTATGAATATTAAAATGTCTTGCAATTACTACCATTTTTGACCTTCAGAAAAATCCAGGTTGCTTTTATTGTTTCTCTTCGCTTTTTGAAATCTTATTTGCTAGCGATATTTTACAACTCTCTGATAGTCATTCAAAAGTTCTAAAATCAAGAAAATTTTAGAAAACACATAGCACTTTCATGATTGTATTAGTATTTACTGAGTTTTAGGTGATAGAAACCTAAATCAGAGTGGCATTAGTGTAAGAAATTTATTGATATCAGAGCACACCTAAGTGTGGATAATGCTAACCGTGTTCATATACTTTGATGAGAAATCTCTTCCTCTTTCTTGGCTCTGCTTTCCTTTGTTTGGCTTCATTTTTAGGTAGGCTGCAGTGTAATGGTCACACCTGTGGCCTCACGTCCTCATAGCCCTCAGCCTGGGGACCTCAGTGTAAATAGCTAACTTCTTTTTTCCCAACAGCCTCAGCAAAGTATTAGCAATAATTCTCACTGGTTGGGATCTGCCTGTGAATCAGGTCCACATCCCTGGTACTCACAGGCGCTCTGATTAGCCTGGCCTGGTTCACAAGCCCAGCCTTGGAACCTGGTGGGCAGAATCAGTTTCATTGCAACCACTATGGGGGTGTGGTGGTTGCCTAAATACAGTAAGGCAGCTGTTATTTAAGAAGTAGATGAACTGCAGATTAGCAGGTACAAAACTAGATATGTGTTATAATAGCTTATTAGAGTGACAGTGAAAGGCTGTCATGGGTCATTTTGGTTTAATTTTACTCTTCCTTTGTGTCTACTGTAGACTAATTATTTCTTGTTAATTGCCTCAGATTTATTCTTTTCAGCTCCTTATTTGATTCCCCTTGACCTTCCTCAGTCTGATTTACATCTTTACTACTCCCTCAAACTAAATTTTTAAGGTAGTTAATTGCCTTCGAAGTTCTTCCCTCAGTTTCTCTTTGCCTTTTCTGCTACAAAGAGTCTAACATCCTTCTGTTCTGCTCTTTCTTTATGTTTCCAGTGAAATAGTTTAAAATAGAGAGTACTGTCTTAAATAACTTGGGAAGGCATTTGGCCTAGCATTTTGGATGCTACATGAGATATACACGTCCCATACTGGAGTGCTTGGGTTCGAGTCCCAGCTCTGCTCCCAATTCCAGCCTCCGGCCAGTGCACACCCTAGAATGCAGCAGGTGATGGTGCAGATAACTGCCACCCACAGACTGAGGTCCCAGTTTCTGGTTTCAGCCTGGCTGAAAGTCAAAACAGCTGCTACATATGCAACGCTAAGATGTTCTAGAATTGTAGGAACAGTGTCGAAAAGTAGATGAGGCTGGCAGACTACCTGAAGGCATTTGGGATGAGCATGAACTCCTGTAGGCCACTATGTATGAGAAAGCATAACCATTCTGCACACATATTTACAAGAATGTCCAGATGGGGCAGATATAATTCCTAATGGTTAAGCAAAGTGGTAAAGAGGGGCTTTGTTACAGAGGTGTAGCAGGTTTGACAGCTATATTTAGAGAAAGGAAATGCAGCTGGTGAATTTTCTGGGGGTCAAACTTTTTGTCCTATTTTCTCTATGTTCCTTTGATGACAGTCCCATCAGATAGTTTCTTCTCTGTTACTGTTACCACTTACATTAAGTAGCTATCATTCATGAACTGGATGTGACTAGCCTTGGAGTGAAAGAAGGGGAGGCTTAAGATATGGACCTTAAAGAGGAGGTAAGTCATTATCTTCTATGTCACTGTAACATTACAACTCTGCAGCCCTGTATCAAGGCTAGAAGCACAGTTGACTGTCACCAACTAGGGGACAGCCAGAACATTAGGACAGGCTCTTGAGGGAGTCAGTGCAAGATGGAGGAGCACTTTGTCACAACAAGCACACCTAACAAGACTGACAGGTCACTCGCAAGCCCATTTTTTAGCTACATCACATAGCTGCATAGTGCTTTATAGCTTTAAAACAATCCTCATAGATGTTATCACATATTATTTAAATTATTTAATTACTTGAAAGGCAGAGAGACAGAGCCAGACAGAGAGATCTCCCATCTCTGGTCCACTCTCCAAGTACCTACAGCAACCAGCGTTGCATATGAAACAGCTGTTTTGACTTTCAGCCCAAATGCCATTTCTCTAGATTGTTCATGTTTCCTTCGTACTCACACACACACATGATCCCAAGAGTCTTAATTAAGTGCTTCCAACTTTAAACATCTGTTCATTTCAAAAAATAAAATACAGCAGTTACTGTACTATAGGACAGCTAGCTAGCTAGCTATATGTTTATCATTAGGAGGTGAGGCGTTTAAGGATTCTTATTCCTTTTTATGTTAAAAATTGAGTTAAAGTAAAGAGAAAATATTGGATCAGGTTTTAAGCTGGCAGAAAATACTCAGCAGCTTTGGTATTTTCATTTCAGCATGCTCCGTATGATGCAATGGTGATGGTGCACATTGCCCATTACGTTGATGAGAAAATTTTAGAGAATGAAGGAAGATGGAAGGTATGTAAGAGCATATCCGTCATTCTTTCCCCCAGTGTTTATACAGAGAAAATATTTTTAAGTCTTCCTTGTTTTCAGGGCTCAGAGAAAGTACGGGATTTACCTTTTCCAGAGGAGCTTGTCTTCACAGTGGATGAGAAAATACTGAATGACATCAGCCAAGCTAAAGCCCAGTATCTTAAGGAGGTAGATGTTCACCTTTCTCTGAAGAGAGTAATGTTCTCTTTTCTATACTATTCATATATAAATGTGGCTGTCCTCTGAGCACGTCATCACAACATAAAACATTAAAGCCTTTATACCCTTAATTTTGTAAATCTGATGATTAATTCAGTTGATAACCGGGTTCTATTTGGGGTATCCTCGTGAGGTGATTTTTTACTGTTCTTCTTTAATTCTTTTTGTTAGGCATCTAATCTGCAGTTTGCAGCATATGCCTTCACATCTTTTGGCAAAAAACTAACCAAGAAGAAGAAGCTTCACCCCGACACATTTATTCAGCTTGCACTTCAGCTGGCCTATTACAGACTTCATGGACGGTGAGGCCCACTAATCTTCCATTTTCAGGATCTTTTCCCCCCATCAAAGATATATTTGTTTATTTGAAAGGCACAGTTAGAAGGAGAGAGAGGGAGAAATCTTGCATTTGCTGGTTCATTCTCCAGATGGCTGCAATGGCTAGGACTGGGCCAGACCAAAGCCAGGGGCTTAGAACTTCATCCAGTCTCCCACATGGTGGCAGGGGCCCAAGCACTTGGGCCATCCTCCACTACTTTCCCAGGTTAGCAGCAAGTTGGATCAGAAGTAGAGCCACTGGGATATGAATTGGTGCCCACATGGGATTCCAGTGGTTTCAGGTGGCAGCTTAGCCCACAGTGCCACAGTACTGGCCCCCATTTTCAGAATCTTAAAGTCCCAGCATATGTCATTTCCCCACACTCGATTTTCTCACTTTTTTTCCAGTTGTCACTGTGCCCTACTTTGTACTTCATCAACTGGGATTAGAGTGCCAATCTGTGACTGTCTCTAAGTTTTTCTTTGATACTTCATCACATTTTTCACTCATAGTTTTGATGTGTCTGCTGCCTTATAAGAGAAACTTTTCTGTTCTTTGGCATTTTAACTTCAGTTTTCTGATGGTTGATGAAAACAAGATTTTTGTAGATTATCCAGCATTTATAGGAGAAATAGTATGTTGTAACTTTTCTATATCTGAAGCAGAAATAGCAGCCCCTTGATTTTGTTGTCTTATCCTGTCTTTAATGTGATGTTTAGATAATTTGCATTTAAGTTCAATTTTCCGTGAAGCTGAGTTTATGTCTACCTCCTTGCTGTTCGTTTCCCTTTATCCTGTCTGTTCATTGTTCTCTCTTTTTTTTTTAATTTTGCTTTACATTTACAGATACACATACATACATGCAAAGTACTTTGAAAAGTTGATGGAACATGGAATTGAAAAATTTTTTTTAGTATAGCCAAGAGCATGTCAATTTTGTTGATTTTTTTCAAAACACCAACTTTTTGTTTTGTTGATTTTGTCTATTTTTTCTGTCCTCAATTTTATCTCCCTTCTGATCTTCATTGTTTTCTTTCATCTGCTAGTTTGGACTTAGTTTTTTCTTTTCTCTGTTCTTTAAGATAGTTATTTTATTGATCTCAGATCTTTGTTCTTTTAATGTAGCATTTACAACTAGATTGTTCCCTTTCAATACTTCTTTCACTGCATTTCATAAGTTTGGGTATGTTTTCTCATTTTCATTCATCACAAATAAACTTCTAATTTTCCTTGTGAGTTTTTTCTTGGCCAGTTGGTTGTTTCAGAGTATGTTAATTTTTACATATTTGTGAATCTTTCAGTTTCCTTCTGTTACTGATTTCTAGCTTCATACCATTGTCATTAAAGAAGATGTTTTGAATGATTTCAGTCTTTTTTAATGTTTTGACCTGTTTTGTGGCCTAATGCATGAGCTATCCTGGAGAGTGCTTCATATGCACTTGAGAAGAATTTGTCTTCTCTGTTGTGTGGTATGTTCTATGTATGTGTATTAGGTCTAGTTATAGTGTTCTTCAAGTCTTCTATCCCTTACTGATCTTCTCTTTAGACATTCTACACATCATTGATAGTGATCTTCCATTTAGAGGTTCTATCAGTATTTAAAGTTGTATTTTTAAATTTCTAACTATTGGCTGGTGCCGCGGCTCAATAGGCTAATCCTCCGCCTGCGGCGCCGGCACACCGGGTTCTAGTCCCGGTCGGGGCACCGGATTCTGTCCCGGTTACTCCTCTTCCAGGCCAGCTCTCTGCTATGGCCAGGGAGTGCAGTGGAGGATGGCCCAAGTGCTTGGGCCCTGCACCCACATGGGAGACCAGGAGAAGCATCTGGCTCCTGGCTTCGGATCAGCGCGGTGCGCCGGCCGTAGTGGCCACTTGGGGGGTGAACCAACGGAAAAAGGAAGACCTTTCTCTCTGTCTCTCTCTCTCACTGTCTAACTCTGCCTGTCAAAAAAAAAATTTCTAACTATTGTCATAAATGTGTCTATTTCTCCCTTCAGTCTGTCGATGTATAATTCAGTACCTGCTTTTTATTTTGAGGCTCTTTTCCTTAGTGCACATTTTTAAAATTGTTATATATTATTGATAGATTAAATGTATCATCAGTATGTATTGTTCTATTTTCTTGTAACCTTTTTTGACTTAAAACCTATTTTGTCCAATAATACACTTCTTCAGTTACTATTTTCACAGAATGTCTTTCCTCCATTCTTTTACTTTTAACTTTGCCATGTCTTTGTATCTGTTTTTTGTAGATAGCATACAGATGAACCACATTTTATTTTATTTATTTATTTTATTTGACAGATAGAGTTAGACAGAGAGAGAGACAGAGAGAAAGGTCTTCCTTTTTCTGCTGGTTCACTCCCCAAATGGTTGCTATGGCTGGAACTACGCCCATCTGAAGCCAGGAGCCAGGTGCTTTCTCCTGGTCTCCCATGCAGGTGCAGGGGCCCAAGCACTTGGGCCATCCTCCACTGCCCTCCCGGGCCACAGCAGAGAGCTGGACTGGAAGAGGAGTAGCCAGGACTAGAACCCGGCGCGCATATGGGATGCTGGCACCGCAGGCAGAGGATTAACCAAGTGAGCCACAGCGCTGGCCCCATGAACCACATTTTAAAAATCCATTCTGCAAATCCTTGCCTTTGGAGAGTTTAATCTGCATTGTATGCTCATTATGATAAATTTATAATGACTTTTTTTTTTACACATTTAACTTTTAAAAAGGAATTACAAGCCAAAAGTAGAATACTGGCTATTATTTTACCTTTACCAGAGTTCTCTATTTCTTTTGTCTTCAGCTTGTCTAATGTTCTTTCATTTGAATTATTTGTCAAGCAGTTCATAGGTCTCCTTTTATGATTTATTTATTTATTTGCAAGGCAGAGTAGGAGAAAGATTTTGCATCTGCTGGTTCACTCCGCAGATGGTCACAATGCCAGGGCTGGCCCAGGCTGAAGGCAGAAGCCCAGAACTGCATCTGGGTCTCCCACGAGGGGCAAAGGCTCATATACTTGGGCCAGCTTCTAGTGCTTTCCCTGGCACATTAGCAATTTCTGGATCAGAAAGGAAGCAGTCAGGACTGCAACTAGTGCTCATATGGGATGCCATGTCACACACAGTGGCTTAACCCACTGCAGCACAACACAGCCAAGGGATCTCCATTTTTATTTTTTTCCTCAGGGTTAGTTATTTGAACTTTATTATTTTCCCTTGGTGGTACCATGTTTACCTAATTTTTCATGATCCTTATAACCTTGTGTTCTGTGTATTTAAAGAACAGCCATTTCTGGTCTTTACAGACTGGATTTGGTGGGTAGACTTCCTGCCTGTTCTCTCTGTGGACACGACTGCTTTCGGGACCACAGTTGAGTGGGGGAATGGAGCCAAAGCGTGGGATTGCTCCTGTGTCCCCAGTCAGGTCTGAGGTTGCAGGCTTATTTCAGAAGTCTGGCAGGTATGGCTCCTGCCTGGTCCCTGGGTGGAGGAGCCTGCTCGTGCCAGGGCTTAGAGCTCAGTCACAGGGCTGCTTCAGTGTCCACAGTCAGGTCTGCAATGGTGAGTCTGTTGGCTAGGGTACAGGCAGGCCTGGTACCTTTCAAGGGCCTGAGCAGACAGGACTTCCTCCAGGACCATGGACAAGCAGGCTAGAGCCAGGTTCGAAGGGCACAGGGCTATTTCCAGGCCTGAAGTCAAGTCCACACTGGCAGGCCTGCCAGTTTTCTCAAAGTGGCTTTCTTGGTCTGGCTGACCCAGAGTATTACAGCCTGGATCCCAGAGCTCCCCAGGGGCACTGCTCTCCATGCAGGCTTCTGGTGGAGGGCGAGGATGCTCTGTTCAGTGTCTTGCTGATGTTCATTTCTAGGGTCTTCTTTCCACCCCCGTTGGCCTGTCTCCAAAATGCTGTTCTCTTTGATTGAATGCTGAACACTACTGTGGAACAGTGCTGGCTAATTAGAAGAGAATCCAAGCCATATGTAGTATTTTAAACTTCTGTTAGCTATTCTTTAAAAAGAAGTAAAATTTATCTTAATAGTATACTTAAAATGTCAAAATATTTTAACATGTAAACAATATAAAAGTCATTAGTGAAATATTTTTTGCACTAAGCCTTTAAAATCTGAGGTCTTATTTGATACTGTGAGCTTCAATTTGAGCTAGCAACTTAAAGCTGTGTACTCTACTACTTCCTCACTTACTATTGGAAGCCTTGCTCTAACAGGCCTAAGCCCTCTTTTTTTTTTTTTTTTTTTGACCATCGTATGAACCGATTTAATGTGACATGGAATGCAAAAGATAAGAACCTTTAATAAAGTATCAAATTCTTCAAGAAATAATTAAAATAAATAAAACAGGATAGTGAGAATAACAGTACCATTATAATCACATTAAATGGAAAAGGATCAACCAGTATTTTAAGGGTGTGACAAATGCAGTGCTATACATTTTTCAGTATTCCACTCAATTTTGTGATATTTTTCATAAAAGTGGCACTTGGAAGAGAGGCTTCAGATTACTCATGACAAGATAATCAGGTTAGAAATACTCCAAGATTTGCTAAGTCACTGTACCTTAGATATCCCACTATATTCTGAATTATCTTTAATAATTATATTTCACAGAGAAGAGATGCTACTTTGTCTATACAGAATCTTTACATTTAAATTTTTTTATTTTAAAAGGCTGACCAGGTTGTTTGTATTAGGATCAACAAATGTTAGATGACTATAGTTGTAATTAATTTATCCAACTTCAGGTAGTTAATATGTGGGAAATGATATAACTAAGATGTTTCTTTGAAACAAAAAAATTATATGACTCTAATAAGAAACATCCTTATTCAATGTATGCTTTATATACATATAAATTTGTTTTTCATTCCAGTCTGAACTTTTTAAATATTTGACAGGCAAAGAGAGGGAGAGAGATCTTCTGTTCACTGCCTCACTCCCCAAATGGCCTCAACAGCAGGTGCTGGGCCAGGCCAAAGTCAGAAGTCAGGCTCTCCATCCTGCTCTCCCACATGGGTGGCAGGGGCCCAGGTACTTAAGACATCTTTCTAGGCACATCAGCGGGAAACTGGATTGGAAGTAGAGCATCCAGGACATTCAGATTAGTGCTCCAAATGGGATGCTGGCATCATGAGCAGTGGCTCAACCCAGTCAACAAGGCCGGCCAAAAAAAGAGCAGTATAGATAGCAGACATTTAACACCTTACTACCATATTGACTACCAAGAAATAAAGACAAACTAGAGAAATACAATGCAAGAAAAGATTCAAGTTAAAAATATATTCCTTTGGTTAAAAATCATCCCCTTTATAATATTCATTTGCAAGCTAAACTCAGTATGCCCCACCAGCCCAAAGTAATCTTCTAAATGTCATTACACTTGTATTGGGATTTTTTTTCAGTCCAGTATTTATGGAGGTCACTGGGTTGCAGCAACAATATTTTCTCTCTGAAGAGTACAGCCTTGTAGTAGTTTTTTCTTAAGAGACTTTTTTACTTCAGAAATCTCCGACACATGTAGTTTTCTTCAGATACTGTATATCCAAACTTTTTACAGAAACCAACATTTTGTGGTAGACATTCAAGGGTAATCTTATAACAGTTTAGTTTCTTGCTTAGCAAAGTAAGGGTTGAAATAACAATTTGCCAAGCGGCTTTCCTCTGCATTCATCACTAATGACCACATCTTCTACTCTTCCTCTCTCAGCACAGGAATGGATGGATTCATGTTCTATTATCAGAGTTGCTGTAGCAACAGTCTGCCCTACAGTCACATCTACAACTGTAACAGAATAATCCCCAGATTTCTTCATATGCTCGGAAGATTTCATACATTGTTCAGGGTTGATGACTCCAGTCTCTGTCAGCTGACCAGGACCTTAAAAAAGCCTCTGTTTAAGTCAGCAGTACAAAAAGGCCTCAAAACCAAACCTTCTCCAGGATGTGTTACAGAAGTGGCTGGAGAAAATATAGCTGTTTTCCGACTCCAGTCCTCTTCTTTGAGAAGACTAGGGTCAAACACTGGTGTTTCACCGGGTTTCATCTTTCCAGTTAGATCCATGGAGGTCCCGCAGTTTGCAATCCCCTCCAGGCGCAGCGGAGTCTCACCCACCGGAGGACACTGTACCGGATCCGGATCCGGCTTCAGAGTCAGCCCACCTCCTCGCCCTGCACAGCCGGTGCTGTGGCCAGCACCCGTGGCCTGACCGTGGCAGCGTCCACGCCTCCACCCGCCCCTGCCTCCTCCCGCAGCGTGAGGCCGAGGCGCCGCCCACTAAGCCCTCTTAATGGCACTTATTGCCACCTTGCTAACAATTGTCTGCAGTACTCATAATTATTTTTCTGTTTTACTCTGAGGATAACGCCAGTTCTCAGCTGATTAAAATTAATGAAATGACTCACTCCTAATTAACTCAAGCAAAGGCATTGCAGTTGCTAGTATTTGTACCAATTTCCTCATCTCCAACAATATGACTGCAATAGCCATGCCCCAGATAGCCACATCACTTTGCCTACAAGACTGTCGACCCTCACCATAACCATTTTAGGATTCACCACAGCAACAGAACTTAGCCGGCTAATATGTAATTTAAAATCCAAATTTTCCTCTCACACATTCAAATTCTTTTTTTTTTTTTTTTTTGACAGGCAGAGTGGACAGTGAGAGAGACAGACAGAGAGAAAGGTCTTCCTTTGCCGTTGGTTCACCCTCCAATGGCCGCCACGGCCGGCGCGCTGCGGCCGGCGCACCGCGCTGATCCGATGGCAGGAGCCAGGAGCCAGGTGCTTTTCCTGGTCTCCCATGGGGTGCAGGGCCCAAGCACCTGGGCCATCCTCCACTGCACTCCCTGGCCACAGCAGAGAGCTGGCCTGGAAGAGGGGCAACCGGGACAGAATCCAGCGCCCCGACCGGGACTAGAACCCGGTGTGCCGGCGCCGCTAGGCGGAGGATTAGCCTAGTGAGCCGCGGCGCTGTCCGACATTCAAATTCTCTTAACTTCCCAGGATTTCCCCCAGCAATTAGATAATGGCCTATCACCAAATGTAAATTTCTTAACAAGCCAAAAAACAAAACCCAATATCATTTCTCTTAGATATAACCTGCCTGGGAAGGTAACCCCAAAACTGTCTCCCACTTCCAAATAACAGCATCAATAATTTCAAGCCAGAAAGGCTTATTCAAACTGTGTTTCTTCTCTTTCCTAGTTTATTTTTTTAGCCATGTTACTAGTCAATTTTCCTGGGGGATTTCAGTATTAATAAAGATACTAACAAATGACCAACCGGCCACAACCATTAATCAACTTCTTTTACTACCTAATGTAGCTGCACATATAGAATCTTAATGAAGACCATCCCCTGTCCCCCTCATCCTCAAAACTCAGTCCTCCACATTCGTGAGACCGGTAACAGTCTCCTCCTCATAACCCTCCTGTTGGTAACCTAATTTCACCTGTGACATCCATTACTTTTGCTGTCTTCCATCTTATAAATCACTAAGTCCAGCTTGCACCTGAAATGAGTGTTTAAACGAGTGGAGATAGCAAGAGGCAGGGTGCTGGGAACCATCCAATAAATGCCACACATAAACCCCACAAGCAGCTACACCTGTGAAACTGTCCATGTTCTTAGAGCAGATTTTTTGCTATTTGGTATTAAAATGAATCTCGGGGCTGGTGCCATGGCTCACTTGGTTAATCCTCTGCCTGGGAGGGCAGTGGAGGATGGCTCAAGTGCTTGGGCTCCTGCACCCACATGGGAGACCAGGAGGAAGCACCTGGCTCCTGGCTTCAGATCGGCACAGCTCTGGCTGCAGCGGCCATTTGGGGGTGAACCAATGGAAGGAAGACCTTTCTGTCTCTCTCTAACTCTGTCAAATACATAAATAAATAAAAATGAATCTCTGTTACTGAAAATCTCAGCTCTTACCTATAGTGTAGGGCTTAGTCATGGACTAAGGATAGCTTTATTAGACAACTGTATTGTAATGACACTAGGAGTTTTTTTTTTTCTTATAATACGATTTTGATGTTTTTTTCCTGTAGCCCTGGTTGCTGTTACGAAACAGCAATGACAAGATACTTTTATCACGGCCGTACAGAGACTTTGCGTCCGTGTACAACAGAAGCAGTCAGATGGTGCCAGTTCATGCAGGATCCTTCTGCCAGTGTGAGTATTAGAGAAAAAAAAAGGTCACAGAATTTAGTGTTGTAAGGAACACGGGCCACTGCATGGGCTTCAACTCCCCTGGATCATTAAAAGATGTTGAGATAACTTGTTCAGAAGTTTCCAAAAGCATTTGCTTACCTGCCAGTAGTGTGTATCTGCTAAGACTAAGACACAGGGAAGACCTGAAAGCAGCCCATTTGTGGCATAAAATCTCTTTATTATTCGGGCTATTTTACTTCTGCTGACTCACTGTTAGAACACAGTGATGCAGATCTCTGCCCAAGTGCCTCTGAAAGCGGGCTTTTCTTGATATGGTTAAATGTGTTTAAAATCAGACGCTCGTTCCTGTTTAAAGTCACCAGAACCAGAACATGGCCAACTTCTTACTACTGTTGAGGCATTCAGACAGCAGTCCTTCCTTCCCATTGCTTTAGTTAATGTTTTGTTCCTTTAGATTCCGTGTGATTATGTCTGTTACTTTCCTAGAGCTGCGTCACTGTCGTTGAGGTGGTGCCTGCGTTCTGAAGTCCTGGTTTCTCTCGCAAATGCCCCTCCCGTGCTGCTCCCCATCTCCCGTTTTCCTGCCCGAGGAAAGCGACAGCCACGCTGCAGGGCACACAGAAAGGAAAGGCGGTGGAACTCAGGAGAAGGCGCGGAAGCGTGTCCACACACCTCCCTAGAAATCTCCCTCTCCCCGGTTACCCACGTGCTACTTAGAATGAGCGGAGCTGTTTTGTTTAGTTAGGTTTTGTGCAGTTTGTTATGGAAGTCTCTCTTGATTTTTCACACAGCTCCTGGAGCGGCAGCAAAAGATGTTGGAAGCGTTTGCAAAGCATAACAAGATGATGAAGGAGTGCTCTTCTGGAAGAGGTACGAGCTGGGAACTAGCCTGACCTTTTACAGAAGTCTCTCACGCCGGAAACTTGTTCTCACTTCAGATGTGGGTTTCCCTCACAGGCTTCGACCGTCACCTTCTAGGTCTCTTACTCACAGCGAGAGAGGAAGGTCTCCCTACTCCAGAGCTCTACACGGACCCACTTTTTTCTCGAAGGTAATATGGTGCTGTGTTTTGTCATGTCCTCAATTACTTTTTCTGAACCTAAGCGGCTCTCAGGAATGATACACACATCTGCGTGCTACTTACAATACCCTTTCTTTGTGCCACACAGTGGAGGTGGTGGAAATTTTGTCCTTTCAACCAGTCTGGTTGGTTATTTACGAATCCAGGGAGTGGTGGTGCCCATGGTTCACAATGGCTATGGATTCTTCTACCACATCCGAGACGACAGGTGAGGCAGCTTGCCCTGATCCTGCCTGTGCTGCCACAGCTGTGGCTTTTCTTATTTGAATGTCTTTCCTACCTGATTCTGTTGTCATCTGTCACCTGCTACATTAGTAACTGTTCTGACCACCTAGACACATATATATAAAATATATATGTTCCTGCTTCTCTGAGCTGCTTTTGAGACACTTGTGTCAGGCATGTAGGTGTTTCTCTGCTTCAGGTTGACTCTGTGGTTACGTCATCCGGAGGAGTACACTAACCGGCTTGGTCTGGACAAGGTATTTATGGAAAGTTCAGGTACAGTGTGTGAATGTAGTTGGCCCTGCATGGCCAGGCTCCACATCCCCCGTTTCAAGAGGGCAGGCATGGAGGCACTGCAGGTGGAATCTGAAAACCTGGGCCATGTGTTGGGCATGCCCCGTGTCAGTGTCTAATGTGCACGTTTTCTGTAAACAGACACAGTGTTATGTTTCAAACTGGTGGTGTTTGCATCCATGCCGAGTGTGATGTGTGCCTCTCATGTCCTCAGGAGATACTGGGAACTGCCAGTGTGCCAAGCATTCTTTCAGGTGCTCAGGACAAGACGGAGAAGAGCCCTCCTCTTTACAGATTTTTTCTACCTGGGGAACTGAGACAGAAGCAAACAAAATGACTGTAAATGGCAGTGACTGCTAAGCGAGGAATAAGCAAGTTGAGTGGTACGGAGATTAACTGGTAGGGGCTGAGTGTTGCTCTGCACAGTGTGGTCAGGGACAGGCTCTGAGGAGTGACAGCAAAGCCAAGCTGTGAAAGATGAGGAGTGTATGGCGTGAATAGAAAGCAGAACGGCTCCCCAGATTGGACCACTGCTTACTGGCTCCAGGGCAAGCCCCATCTGTTCCCTCTAAGCTGTTCTTACACACGACAGGTGGTCTTGTTACCGCCTATTCTTCCCTGCAGACCACTCTTCTACACAGAAGGCCTGCTGGTGCTTCTGAAAATCTAACTCCGGTCCTGTCAATGCTATTCAGATTTCTCGTTCCACTCAGAAAACCTGGCCCCCCCACCCCCCACCCCCAACCCCACCCTGGGGCCTTGCATGATCTGGCTCTCAGGCACCTCTCTGACGTGATCATCTACAACTCACCTCTTGCTGTAGCCACGCCGGGCATCTTGTTCCTTAACTGTGCAGACTTCCTTCTCAAGGAATATACGGTTAGGATTCTGTCTGCTCCTCTCTTCCTGGCATTATATGCAGGGTTCATTCCCTTACTGCATGCAGACATGTGCTCAAACGTCACCTTCTCTGAGGCCTCCCCTGACCCCTTCTCAGAAAACTGGCCTCCTCCCCACACCTCCTGCCTTTCTTTGTCGTATCACTCATCTGATGTGGGTGTGTATTTGTATAGTATCTGTCTCCCCCTTCCTGAACACAGACTCCACAGAGCAGACATCTTATTGGTTACAGCCACAGCTATCTATCACTGTCTCTAAATACATTGCACCCAGTAACTGTTTTCAAATGATTTTGTTATTGAGTGTTCAGGGTATAGGTCCTGGGATAGGAAAGAGATGGACACTTAGAAGCAGCAGAGGCAATCTGATAAACAAGCAATTTATTTCATGGAAAATAGACTTAAAATTTCACTGAACATTTTTAATACACGGAAAATGAGTATTAAGAGAGGGTGGTGGAAGAGGTGAAAAGGGTTAGGAGCTGGGTCCTGCAGGACAGTACTGGCAGCCCTGAGTGCACAAAACAATCGCTTGGAGACTCTTAAAACATCCTGGAGACCGATGGGGTTGCTGTGGGACCTTGAGCATGGTAAGCAGTTTGGACTTACTCCCAAGAGCAGTGGGAAGCATTTTCGGAGTTCTAAGCCTAGAAGTTGTGTTTTGCTTATCTCTTACAAGGACCATTGGCTGCTGGGTGGAGTATAAATTGGATGGACAGTTATAGGGACAAAAATGAGATGAGGAAATGAAAGTATCTGATTCTACTCCTGTAACGGTGCCTGGGGTGGGGTAGCTGACAGAGAGGCTTATTCTGGCTCAGGTTCTGGAGCCTGGGAAGTGCAAGGTTGGGCACCCACCTGGGTGAGGTCCTCGAGCCTCTTCAGGTGGGAAGCAGTGGGCCAGCGTGGAAGGGACAGACGTGAGGGGCAGCCTCCCTGCTCCTTGGTGAATAATCAAGTCCTTTTGGAGTGCCATAGACTTGTAGCTTTATCCGTGTACCTCACGGAAAACTTGGAGCTAGCAAAAGCCTGATTAGGAGCCCAGTTTCTGCTGAGCTTGTCAGGGCAGGCTGTCGTCGTTCTCACTGGCCAGGCCTTGACCCGTCTCAGAAGGTCTAAAAGGCATGACTGGGTCCCAGGAGAACGTCTCTGGTTCTTCCAGAGGCAGCTTTTCTTTTTAATCTTTTTTTTGGACTCAAATCTTCAAGTATTTACTCTTGAAAAACGGTTCAAATTTCATTGTAAATAGTAGCGTGACTTCATATTCCAGCTCATTCCAGTAGTACTTCAGGAGGGTTTTTGTTCTGAACTTAAGACCTTGTTCTAGCTTATTTTTGTTCCCTTTTGTCCGTAGGCTCTGCCATGTAGGGTACTGGGTTCTCCAGCATTATGTATGATTGCAGCTCTGCCTTCTGTCCTGCCAGGTGACATCTAGCTGATGTCAAGAATTCACATCTCACGTACAAACAGCCAAATGGAATCAAGCTCCTGGCTCTGCCCCCCAGTGTGAGTGGCAGCCTTTTGCGTAATCATTTATTATTTATTATTGGTGCTTCACAGGTTTGTCGTGGCCTGTTCAGCCTGGAAATCATGTCCCGAGACAGATGCAGAAAAACTAGTCCAGCTGATTTTTCATGCCTTCCATGATATGATGCAGCTGATGAACACTGCTCATCTTTAGAGACTAGTGCTTGTTAAGCACTCGCCAAAATACATTAAACTGGGTGCTGGGAGTGGGTTGGTGATGAGATGGGAAGGAGTGTTGTGATTTGAGAAAGGAAATGTTAACAGTAGAAATTGATAAAAATCATGCTAAGTGTATTCTGCCATAGAAGTAATGTGTTTAAGCTTCCTCTGATGCAGCAGCAATGCAAATGATGATCTAGTGAATTGAGAACTATGCAATGTTCCAGAAAAGCCACAACAATGCAGATCTACAGATTTTAGCAATGGAAGTCTTAATCTACTTTTAAAATATTTTTGTTGGTACTTGTATAGGTTATAAATCCTCTCTGAATGTCCATATTTCAAGCACTTTAACATTTTCTAATTGCCAAAGTGTATGAAATACATGATGGGATGAGAATTCCTCTGAAATCATTGGCTTCCATATTCACCACTGGCTGGCTGGGAGAGACCACTCTGATTTAATTATGATCGAAGAGAGATTATTCAACATAAAGGGTTATTTGCATTTTCTAACAGGAAAAAAAATTTAAAAACCCTAACAAAATCAAATGTGATATACTGCTATAATTAATTTTGTCAGTATAGCAAATTTTATTATTAAAGTTAGTGACTTTTAAAGAGTTCAGTGTTGAATCAGATTCTCAGGATTTTAAGCCTGTTTTTTCTTGTTCAGTTTTGTAGTTTCTATTCTCAAAAATAAAACCTTCAAAATCATAAAGTGTTTCGTTTGAATAAATGATTCATTCTTGTTGGCTTCCTTATGATTTCTGGTCTCAGATACGTGCTGCTGGGTGATAAGCATCTTAGAGTTTATGATGAGAGTGCTTCATAGCACTTGGAAAATAGTTAAAAGGTAAGTTTACTTTGGTGCCTGTTTTTAAAATATTCATTTCTGTGAACTTTTGAGGACCACTTTCTCATATGTATTCAGAAATTTTTTGCACCAAAATAAACTTTAAATTGCATTTTCCATGAACTTCTTGAAGTGCCCTCACTGTCATGCCTGAGACTGCAGAGCCCAGGCTGCCTCGGCCACCGTCTCTGCCCAGGATTCTGCCCGCAGACGGTCTCTGGTCACTCAGGAGTCAAAGCCAGGTTCCCATACGTGGCTGAGGAATGTTCTACGACGTGAACGTGGAGATGGCAAGGTCTCTGGGGCCTAGGCCATGGCATCACACAATGTCACTTCTGTGCCTTCTGTTGGTTGTCACAAGTCAATGGAAAGATTCAAAGAGTGGGGAGAAAAGTCACTTTTAAAATAATGGGCACAGTGGGCATGATTTATTGGGGGCCGTTTTTTGCCTTAGCAACTTACAGTATACTTAGTTACTGGTTGTATATATCCCTCCCTTTTAACATTTACATCTATTCTGAAATCGGTGAGACTGCTCTGTCACCATTGCTCATCATTACGGCTATCAGCATTTAAATCCTTGGCAGGGTGCCAGGCCCTAGCCTGAGAAGTACCATTACTCTGTAAAAGCATCCAGAGTGGGTTTCTAGGGCACTGCTGCGTCCTTCCTCGGTGCTGCAGAAGACAAACTCTGAACGGAGGAGATTTTTCCTCACCAGTAGAGTTTGACGGATCCAATCAGGCACTCAGAGACGTTAGGTGGTTCAGACAACGTCAGACGACGGGGACTACTGGAAGTTGCATCGCTTCCTGCAGGAAACTGCTCACTCATGCCTTAACAGTTTCTGTAACTTGCCTCAAGTTTAAAGAAACAAACCCCTGAAGTGCTTTCAGCCACAACCTCCAAGGCCTACTGACTGAGGATCCAGGAGCGGCTGTCTCATGGTCTTTCTCCGACAAGTCTGGGAGTACTCGTACAGAAATAGTTGAGTGTTGCTCACTCGCGGTCTCTGCAGTGATGGGCTCTCCCCTACAGCTTGTCCTCCTCTCAGATTCAGTCCTTAGATGCAGGCTCTCAACTGTAAAGTTCTTTGGTAACATCTGATTCATGACTTGGTTTCAACAGTTTACTGACTAAACACCCTCAGAGAACAGTAAGAACTGATATTGCTGCATAAAACTACGGAGGCACAAGTGGAAAAAACATTTCAGGACAGTGCTTCCGATGGCTGGCCGCAACATTTCTTTTTGCTTTCCATTTTAATAAACCTTTCCTTGTAGGAAAAGTAGGATATTTGTAGAAGAGGCAATGCAGTTATTACAGAAACTCAGTATTTTATCAGTGACATTTCCAGTGTTTCAAATTATACGAGAATGTGCACATTTTAAATCAGTGAGTTCTAGACATTTAAGAACACACTCTGATAGAGCTCTTTCTTGATTTATGGAGTAAGTGTATACTTGCAAAGTTAGCTAGTCTAAGGGCAATTTAGTTTTCTTGGATGACAAATCTGGATATACGTTCATTTAAAAAACTTCAGTTCCAAAACAGAACACTTTAGAAACTTAACAAAGGAAGCGATTAGGCTGCTGTTAGGCTGCTGAGCAGTTTATTTCTGCTTTGTGTTGGGAAACTTCTCAAACCATCCTGTCATCTACCCACCTGTTCAGGACTGTAAGAGTTTTCCCTGCATCTGTCTGTTCTACACCTGTATATACCTGCACTTTTCTTTCTTTGGCTATTTCTTTTTTATTTTTGACAGGCAGAGTGGACAGTGAGAGAGAGAGACAGAGAGAAAGGTCTTCCTTTGCCATTGGTTTACCCTCCAATGGCTGCCGCAGCCGGCGCGCTGCGGCCAGCGCACTGCGCTGATCCAAAGCCAGGAGCCAGGTGCTTCTCCTGGTCTCCCATGGGCCATGCACTTGGGCCATCCTCCACTGCACTCCCTGGCCACAGCAGAGAGCTGGCCTGGAAGAGGGGCAACCGGGACAGAATCCGGCGCCCCGACCGGGACTAGAACCTGGTGTGCCAGCGCCACAAGGCAGAGGATTAGCCTAGTGAGCCGCGGCGCCGGCCATCTTTGGCTATTTCTAATAACCCAGAGAGATCTAGGCTACTGTTTTTTTTTTTTTTTAATAATTCATCAAAACAGGTATCACTTCTAACACTCAAATTTCAAATGGTAGAATATCAGAACACCAAATGGGATGTTCTAAATTGATGTGGAATAAAGCACTGCTATATTTTATGACTTAAGCCAGAAACTTCTTTAAGCCAGAGAGTAGAATTATGAGTTTATTTGTAGATACATTGTAACCAACAGTCCATCAGTTCTGTGTCCCAGTCTGAATACTGACCATGGAGAAGTAGATGCCTTTCTGTGCCAGCAGCTGGTGGTGAGTGCCGCACTCCTTGACTCTGCCGTTGTGCAACACCACGATCATGTCTGCGTTCTGGATGGTGGACAGGCGGTGCGCGATCACGACGCAGGTGCGGCCCTCCCGGGCCTTGTCCAGGGCTTCTTGGACCACCTGTTGACAAGGCAAACAAAAGCTGATCCTAAAAATTGCGTAAAAGGGTTTTAACACTAATGAATTAAAAATTCTGTCCCTCTTAGTAAATCAACTTATAATTTCTCATCTTTTTTAATTTTTGGCCTTATAAGTTGTATTTTACATAACTGATATTATAATCCACATACGGTTATTCTAAGTCATCTTCATGAGTATTTAAACTTTCCAAGTAATCACTTTATCATTTACTTAACTAGTCCCCTGGAGTATTTTGTAACTTGCATTATTATAGCTAATGTACTACAAATAGGACTTAATGTAGTTTCCTTTTAATACTTGTTTTCTTTTAGAAAATTTGTAAGGAAGAAAGAAAACATTCTAGTCATAAAAGTACCACTATCTAAATGTTCGTGCTTTTTTCCATCCGTGTTCATGTACGTTTTCATGGTTGACAGGGGAAAAACGTGGGCTGTAAATATACCAGCACACTGGGTGGGCAGCCACACCTTTTCACTTTCAGTATCCAGAGCTGATGTAGCTTCATCCAGGAGCAGGATCTGAGGTTGTCTGATGAGGGCTCGGGCAATGGCAATCCTCTGTTTCTGACCTCCCGATAGCTGAGTCCCCCTGTCTCCCACTCTGGTTTCGTATTTCTGCAATCAGCCATTGATAAGGTTAATAAAGCTCTATTCTGAAAACATTACTAGTGTCACAATGAATGGAAGTTTACTTAACATCTGACAATTCTGTTCACAAGAAAAACATTTAGAATTTTATAATTTAAAATAAGATTGCTGTTGACAATATTTTTTTCAATTTAATAGAGCATTCATTTTCAAAATTAAATTAGAAAATGCCTACCTTAAGTATTCAATGATATTCTACAAACAGAAATTTGAGCAACTATTTTTTAATTCCTACCATTATCATAATACTATTTGATGTTACTGGAGTCCTAAAAAGTTTAAATAATACTTTGAAGATGTTTTTTAAACTTGAAATACTCAGTGTCCCACATACAGAATAGTTTTTCTCTTTTAAACTCATTAATTAAAATATTTACTGACATTTGCTATGCCTGGAACTGTGGGAAATTAAAATAAATGAATTCAGTTTTGTTTCTGCCCTGAAGGAATTTATAATCCATAGTGGGGGCTGGCACTGTAGCGTAGTGGGTAAAGCCGTCACCTGCAGTGCCGGAATCCCATATGGGTACCAGTTCAAGTCCCAGCTGCTCCACTTCCGATCCAGCTCTCTGCTACGGCCTAGGAAAGCAGAAGATGGCCCAAGGCCTTGTGCCCCTGCACCCCTGTGGGAGACCCAGAAGCAGCTCCTGGCTCCTGGCTTTGGATTGGTCCAGCTCCAGCCATTGCGGCCATTTGGGGAGTGAACCAGTGGAAGGAAGACCTCTCTCCCTCCCTCTCTCTACCTCTCTCTGCCTCTCTGTAACTCTGCCTTCCAAGTAAATAAATAAATCTTTAAAAAAAAATCCATAGAGGGGGAAAAATGCAAATACAGTACTCAATAAGGTCAAGTAAAGTACCACTAGAACATACTACTTTCTAAGAAAAATGAGAAGTAGACAGAAATTGTGGGTACAAGGTAGAAAGGAGACAAATGAAGGCAAAAAATCTTCATAGAGAAGTTTGGGATGCTTAGTGTTGAGGGAACATTCCAGGTTAAAAACAATGCAATGCAAATTTTTATGAAGTAAAATGTCATTTGTATTAAAAGTTAAAGCCTTCAAAGTTTTTGGCATTTACAGTAAAATCCAATATTGGATTCAAATTGTGCCTGTGTGTGAAAGGTTGGAAAAGCTAATCAAGGAAGATTTTAAAATTTGTCAGTGAGTTCTAATTATAGCATAATATAAAAGCAAAAATAATTAAGCTATATTTCAGGTAATCTGAAGTACAGCAGTAAGTGCCTGCATTAAAAAAAAAAATAGGAAGTTATCAAATAAACAGCCTAACTATACATCTCAAGCACCTAGGAAAACAAAACAAACCCAAAGTCATTAGAAGGAAAGAAAGAATAAATATTGGAAATTTTAAAAAAATGAAATGAATTATTCATTGCATTTTCACTCTCACCACTCTTATTCAATTAGTATGAATTTTAGCAGAGTGATTCAACAAGAAAAACCAATAAAACGCATACAAGCAGAAGAGAAAGGCTAACTACGCTTGTTTGCTGCTGACAGGTTTTATGCATGCAGAAACCAGAGGCAGCTCCCAGAGACCACTAGAACTAAAGAATCTGAGACGCTGCAGGACACGAAACCAACAGCCTGAGATACCACAGCTCAGTACCATCTGTATGCACCAATGACGTTCACTGAGAACGAGATT